TATGAAGATTGAAGACTCATAACGTCGAATGACCACATAACGTTTACATATTTAGTCTACGCTGCTTCTGAGCGATTGATTGTTTTGTTTTTCAATATTTAAAACACGTTCATGTAAATTCCAGGTTTACAAGCGCCGAGCCATGGGCGCCCACAAGAGGGAGAACTCCCCCCCTAGCTTTCCTGAAAGTTAACATAATTATACCCAAATTTAATATCCCAAAATCCCAAAATTCGCTATTGGTAACAAGGTGTATTGATTTTCATCAATACACCTTTATTGGAACCTAGTCAGTAGGTATACTTCGTGATTATAGAATTTCGTTAATTTATTACCATAATATACAATGATTTATGGTTTATGATTTGTAGTTGGTACCAACCACTATAGCCGATCATTTGCGGATATTTTTTGTGGACAGCTGACTTACGGTTATATAATGTGTGAAAATCGTTTATCCGGATTATGTATAATATGTTAAGTTCACATGGGAAAAAAAATCGAAGAACTTAATTTAGCCGAAAAAGTTGTTGATGAATTTGGGAAAAATAAAGTAAAATTGCAATTTGTGTTCAATTATAGTTACTATAATTAATGTTAAATTTTAATATTATATTATAATGTTTTTGTACGATTTTCGAAAATACAAATAATACATTAATAAAAGTGTTTGATTATTAATACAAATTAAGGCTGCCCCTCCCATGAATTTGCACCTCCGGGTGCCCTTGTCGCCGACAATATATAGAGTCAACATTTTAAATAAAATCTAACCAATAAACATTTAAACATTATTTATATAATTTATTATACTTTTTTTCACGTTAGTATGATTTAGGTATGCATATTAAAACGTTTTGAATATTTTCCATTTTTCGAATCTGTGTGGAAAAATGGATTGTCGTTCGAAAATTAAAAACTAATACTCATTTAAGTCCAATCGTCATTATACATTAGCCTCACAGTATTATAAAATATACAGTGATTTTTTTTTAAATTTGTATTGCAATTATAATTGCATCTTACAAAGACGTATTTTTGATTTGTAAATTTACTGCAAAAACGCATAGTATTATATTATAACGATACACGTGTAATCGTTGTTTTATTAGCTTCTGGAATATTATTTTGTGGTAAATTGCTAGTTAATCGGTGTGCACCTATAATAAGTACCTAGGTAATAAACTTGTTTGGTGTATATATTATAGTATACCTACCCACATCTGGTTACTTGGCTACCTATCACTTATTATATTAATCGAGTATGTGACCTTATGATGAATGAATATTTATAATAATATATAAATATAAATGTGTTTTTCACGAAGTGATTTCTTTTTCAGATTCCCGAATGAAGTGAGAAATGTATTGGTTATGACGTGTGCGCTATTTTTGTTGTCTTTAAATAAATTTTTTTATCGGTAATCTTGCTCCAATCATTAACTTTTACGGGTGGTTTCCACTAGTAAATTTCGGTTAGTCGGTGGATTGAGAAGGTTGAAATGTCGAAAAACTGTAATATGTATTTACGCATCTAATAGTTTCTATTATTTTAAATTTTGTTGTTGTAGTATCTGAGTGGAGTGAATGATTTTTTTTTCTGTGGATAACTTTTTTTCCAACAATTTTTCTAAAAGAAAATTTTACTTGAGAGGTGCTTTCTTTTAAAGAAAGCGGTTTTTTAGCAGGTATTAGCTAAAAATGTATGGCCTTCTTTTTTTTTTTTTTTTATTCGGTTAGAAATAATTGCAGAGACTTGAAATTTTCACCAAATAATATATTCGAACTTTTTATGTTGTATTTTTCGAGTGTTTTTAGTTTTTATTTGGTTTCATGCAAATGAAATTGTTTTGGCTCAATAGAAATACTAGGTGAGCATAAGTTGTACTTGAAAAGAAATAAAAATTGACCGTAATGTAGTCATGTTTTATAATTTTGTAAGTGTTTAAAATATACATTTGATCATAAGAATTATAAGAAATCCTAAAAGATCATACGAATCATTGCTTTTAAAAACATGTTTCACTGAAGTAATGTCAGAATCGATTTTCGTCAGTTAGACGATATGCTTTAAATGATTTATTGTTGAGTACAGATATAAACTGAATCACCTAACACCTTTATAAAATATACCTTCCCAACTTCCCCACTTCAATGGTGGCCATGAGCAGTATCCCGTATAAGGAGTGTAGTGACGATGAACAAACACCCGTAATATATTGGCTTTTCTTTAGCACAGCGAGGAATGTATTGGTTTTATTATGTTGTACATTTATTTTTTGTCTGTTTGTGAGAAATTTTTCTACCAGAAATCTTGCTCTAGTTAGAGATTTTCTTTTTTTTTTTGCATTTTTGGTTTAGTTTGCGCATTTGGAAGGTGATTTTTTGATTTTTGAGAGATTTTGAGAGATAAGAATTGGGAAAAATCAGAAAAAAAAGTATAGAGAAAACTGACAAATATTAATGACTTTACCGATTTTATTATTTTACATTTTTACGATTTATGTTTTCTACCAGAAATCTTGCTCCAATCAAAAAACGAAGAGATTTTGTTTGTTGCTTTTTAGATCTAGTTAGTGAGTATGATAATTGTTTTTTGATTTTATGTCTACAGTTTCTTAATAATTTCGAAAAATCGGGAAAAAATCGTAGGCAAACCGGAAAAGTTTACGGAAATAACGGTTTAATTATTTTTAACTTTGCTTTTTTATAATAATTCGGTTAAAAATAATCGTGTGCATTAATATACATTAGTCTTTTTTAGACAAGGTATAATTCAAAATATTACGGCAATTTTTGTGAACATTTGACATTTTCGAGCAATTTTAATTTTATTTCGTTTATTAATATGCAGAATGTACATGGATACAATTTTTTAGGCCTAACAGAAATGCTTGAAAATTGGTACATGAGGTTCGTTCTTTTCATTTATTAATTCGTTTTTTTTTTTTTTTTTATGTTTTGTGTCGTTTGAATTTCAAAAAATAATTAATACCCTACTCTCGTTAATATCGATGAAATAATATTAATTATATATCTAGACTAAACACTTAATCCATAAAATATTATATTATAAAGTGTCAGTGCGGAACATTGTTGATATACACAAGACTTTCACGCAAGAAAGAGTAGAATGTTACCAAAACTTGTTTTTGCACAGTGTACCTAAGACGGATTGTTGATATTTTCGTTATTCCTTACTAATTAATGTAACCTATATTATAACTGTACAGTATGGGATCATGTCATAAACTATTTGTACTGTTTATACAAAAAAATCCCACATTCACCTGTTGGTTCATACGTTTTTTTAATTATAATAGGTTTTTAATACTTTATAATCTTTTTATATGCCAAAACAAATGTGTGTGCATTATTAGTTTTGTGTATTGTTTGCCACTTGTTTAAATATTGTATTACAAATATTACAATGCCATCATTATCTCAAATTTAATTGCAACATTTGTTCGTTATTTATATTATATTTAACAAATGCGATTTAATCTCAATTACAACAGAGACGATTAACAAACGAACAATCACTACAAGACGTCGTATTATAGAACTGTAACCTATACACAGCTTATTCCCTAATGATACTGATAAAATTGCCAATTATTCCCAATTATTAAGAAAACTACAAGAAAAATCATAAAACGACCCCTCAATAAATAAATTAAATCAAAAATTCTAAAAGAATGTTCCTTTAAAATTTCTGATTTCAACAAGATTTCTGATATAAAAGTTATTTAAAGACAAAAAATTTAAAAAGCTGATGCATCTACTATACAGAGTGAATTTTTTTATCATGAACCAGCAATCATTTTAGAGGATTTTAAGTGAATTTGATTTCTGTTTTTTCTAATCATTATGGAATCGTTTAAGCTTTATTTTAAAACCATTTTTAATTTTTTACCCCTACTCCATATACCTCAAATAAATGCATACTTTTGATTTTCAAATAGGAATTCTCCCTTTTTGAACACAGATTTGAATAAATTATATTTTTTTTTTGAAATTTTGGTACGTATAACACTATTATCAGATTTAAGGTTTATGAGTTATAACTGTTTAAAGCTTAGACCGGAGGAGTAGAAAAGGGTCCTAGATAGACAATTTACTACCTTTCCCTACTCCTCCAGTCATAAACGGAAAACCTGATATTAATGTGATGCATATCAAAATTTCAAGAAAAATATAATTTATTCAAATCTGTGTTTAAAAGGGAGGGTTCCTATTTGAAAATCAAAAGTATGCACTTATTCAAGGTATATGGAGTAAGGGTAAAATATTAAAAATGGTTTTAAAATAAAGCTTAAACGATTCCACAATGATTAGAAAAAAGAGAAATCAAATTCACTTAAAATCCTCCGAGATTGGTGGTTCATGATAAAAAAAATTCACCCTGTACATATCATATTATAGTAAAATAATTAAATAGACATTACCAAAATATTTTCTTTTCAAGATTTCTGGTATACAATAGATATATTTTGGACGGTATTACCAATTTAATTTGCTGTATTTAAATACGCCATTTTACCAGTTTATGCTCATAGTTTTTCCGATTTTTTTGACACCAAAAACGTATTTTTCGATTTCTATTGATACACGCGCTTTTAACAAAACACCATTGATATATTCATCGTTGTTACGCTCAAAGTTTGAAATGAAAAAAAAAAAAAAATGCATTTCAATTTTTTTCCACTTTTTTTTTCACACCTCTGAATAAGGGTCTAGGTATTCCATTATAGCCATTAGAGCCGTCCCGTGGCGTGCGTGCGTGGGCGCCTTTTTTTTTTTTACCGTCCCCATTATATAATGTTAGGGTCGTCGGTGGTGGCGTCGGCGACAACAGGTTTCGCGTCTGTATAGCGGTGGCGCCGGTGACGGCGCCGTCGATCGCGGCTGTGTGCCGGGTGGGGACGACGGCGCCGCTAACGATCCGGAGAAACCGGTGACGTTCGGTCGCGCATGCCGCATAGTGTGTCTCGCGAGCGCACGCACGACTGTCGACCGCGTATCGCTTGTGTCCGCCAGCCGTGTACGTGACGTGTGTGTGTGCGTGCGTGTGTGTGCGTGTGTGTGTGTGTCATTTTCGACGTTTCGTCCATTGCGGTGCCGTGCGCGACACGCGAAAACCGTCTCCGTGTACACCGGTGTCCTTTGCGTCGCGTTTGGAGCAAAGTGTCGTTGACGACGACAACGGTGGCCCCCACCATGGAGGCTGCGGCTTACCCGGATTTCCCGGAGTACGCGGGCTTTTCCAGCGGCGGCACCGGAAACGCCGAAACGCACGCCGACGACGAAGCCGTGACCGACGGCCTGACACCCGACGGCGACAAGTGCCGCCGTCCCCGGCGGTCGCGGACCGGCATCTTGTCCCGTTTCCTGTCCGTCTTCGAGCCGTCCACGAACCGGCTGTCCATGAAGATATTCGGCAGCGAGAAGGCCGTGCTCAAGGAACGGCTCAGGCAACGGTCCCTGGGCGTGTGGGTCATTCATCCGTGTTCCAAATTCAGGTATTTATGTACCGTACCGACATTGTTATTACACTCGGCATTAAAATACGTCAGACCGGTCCCCCCGATCTATCAATTCATCCGCCCCGTGCGATTTCAAACCACGGGCGTCTACAATAATTATTGCCGGAAGTATGCCGGAGCCGGCCACATCGGGTTCGAAACTAGGCGCGGTGGTCCCGTAGAATCATTTGCTTGCCAAATCTTTTCGAATCGGCCAAACAGACTTTTTCAATATTATTGTCGGCCAGAAAGAATGTAAAAAAAAAAAAAAAACAAAAGATTAAAAGACTGACATGGTTCGCACGCGGGTGCAGCCACTGTTGTAGATGGGAAGTTGGGATGGTAGGATATATAGGGTGATAATAATTCGTACCTGTAAGCAACGATAAACCGTTGGTTACGAAAAAACGATTCCGAGCGGAGTTCAGTTGACAGCGATGCTTTGTCAACAATATGTATTAGGTGTATATTTTCTATATATTTATGTTTAGGTATACATATTTATTTAATACCGTACCGATTTTCCCGTTTTCTTCTACGTTTTTCCCGTGTTTTTTCCCGGTTTTTCTGGGAAAACTTTTGGGGAAATCGAAAAATGACCTCCCTAAAGTACGACCCCAAGAAAATTTTCTTTCAAAAATGGGTCTGCATCGTGTATATCGGAATAGGCTTTCTGGTGGAAAAGGTGTTTACGTAAAAAAATCAAAAATGAGTACCACCCCGGGAAAATTCCTTTTTAGAAAGAGCGCTGTTCTTTCTGGTAGAATTTTCGTCCGCAGTAATACGAAAAAAAAAAAAGAAATACATTCATCGCTGCGCTCAGAATCTCCGTTTCGTCCGGGAAAATTGTCGGGGTCGTGCGTTCGACATACGAGCAAAGAGGGAGAAAAATAGTGTACAGCAGGCGTGTATCGTTAGGCGCGCATTAGTGGCGTACGGCGGGCCGGCGCCGGGGGTTTCGTCGTTCCGTAACCGGTTGTCCGGGTGTTATGTACACGCACGCGGACGGTTTGAAAGGACCGCCCGCGATTCGTGTGTGTACTCGACGTGCGCGACGCACTCGCCCGAAGAAGAATGTTCGAAGGAAAAGAACGTGAGAAAGAAGGAGGAAAAAAAAAAAACGAAACAATCCGGGAGAGAACGTCAGCGCGCGGCGGAACGAACGGGGGTGCGCGTGTACGGGTCGGGGTTATTTTCCGTGTATCCGTCGCGTTTATTATCTTGCTACACAGTGTCTGCGCACGCCCGTCCGCCTGCGTCCCGGACGGACAAATAACAATACACGTGCCCGCGCTCCGCATTAAACGGTGTATTTATCGTTACCGTGGACGGGAGAGAAAATATGATGAAAGAAACGCCGCGTAAGAGAGCAGCGGGGTTGTGGGTGGGCGTATGGTGTGGTCGGTCGCGGTGGGAGGGGGAGGGCGAGTACGGGGGTTTTCGGACGGGAGACGCGATGTACAACAATGTCGTCTCCGATGGCGACAATTCTCGCGTTTTCAAACACACGCGACCCCGCGAAGAATCGTCGCGATTTCGGATTCTGAACGGGGCGACGAATGTTACCGGTTTTTGTGCCGATTATTTATTTACATATATTTTTATGCCGCGTGTCCGTGCGTACGAAATTTCTCCGAGAAATCTCGTTCCAATCTAAACACGATGAGCGACCGTTTTTTTTTTCTGCTCCAGTCGCGCGGTACACTTTAGAAGGCCATCTTTTGAAATTCCCGTTAATATTCGAGATAATGCGGAGAAAAAAAAACTGGTTCTTTAAGCCGAAATAGATTAAAAGATTAAACAACAAGCGGACGTATTCGTATTTCGCACTGTGAGAAGTCGGCAAGGTAGAGGGGAAATCCAATGTTAATTTGTGCGCGAAGATTGACCTTTGCTAACGAAAAACGATTCTGAGCGGAGCACGGTTACACATGTTTTGAAAGTCCGCAAATTTGAAAATGATACATTTCGTACATTTTCCAGTTTTTCACATTTGTTATAAAAACCCCTCGCTGTAAAACCAATACATTTCTCGCTCCGTTCAGAATCTAAAATAAGGTTGTCATTGGCAATTGTTATTATATATTTTTTTGTTTTATTTTACAGTTTTTATCATTTGGATCTTTTTTAAACAATCGTTTTGTTATGAAAATGCATATTGTTGAAGAAACCAATACTATTGATCGAGTTCTGCTCAGAATCGTTTTTTGTTAGCAATGATTAATCGTTGTGCACAAGTATAAATTAAATTCTCTTCTATATTCTATACCTTCTCAATTTTTCACCTACAACAGTGGCCCACCCGTGATGCGAAGTGTGTCTGTCCGTTTTTTAATATTGAATTAAAGATTTTAATTTCAAATCCCATCGGACGTGTTTAGGAAAATCTCGAGATATTTGTAAAACAACACTTTCGAGTACCTTTACACATATTTTTAACGCGATGCCCGTGGCGATTGTAATTCCCTTTTGCTATTTTATTTTTTTTTTAAGCGATTGAAAGTGAAAAAAATTCAATAAAAGAAATTCAATTTCACCCTCGCTTCTATATCACAGTTAACCCGTTGTCATACTCTCTTGCCCGTGAACATAATTACAACCGTTTTGTTTTAGATTCTGAGCACAGCGAAGAACGTATTGGTTTTACTATGGTGTGTGTTTTTATTTTAATTTCTACCAGTAGAGATGGTCCAATCAAAAAAATGGTAGGAGATTTAGAAATGTATGGATTTTTGATTTCTACCGGAAATTTCGCTCCGAATTTCATCGTACAGAGGTATTTATTCTGAAAGAAAATTGTTGGTTTTTCTTGATTTTCCGAGTAGTTTCCTTAACAATCGGACAAAACCGGGATAAATCGATTACAATTACATACGCAGTGTAAAGGAAAAATGTTGATGCATTACAAAAAAAAAAAAATAACACCCGGATTTAATATTTTTGATTAGATATAATTTTAATTTTTCAATATTATTACCGCTTATTATCGTTTCGGACATTTTAAAGAACATTGCGGTTTATTAATCACAAGAGAGTAGGGAAAAAAGCGAAACGTCGATATATACAATAATTGCATTATCATAACGCCGTATCCGTATTCTCAGGTCCGCTCGGTGCGTGTCTGCATGCACACCCTAGTAAATCTATACGTTTCAACATCATATCGTACGACAAACTATCGAATTGAAACACCGAAATGCTTTTAAAAATATTTGAATAATTGTATACCGTCTGTGTATATCTACTCGGTGTGAGTACTATTAGTAGTACCCGTCGCGCCGATTAAAGTAATTGCTGTTATTATTCTAAAATATGATGCGCCTACGGTATAATAGTCTTGGATAAAAAAATGTTTGAAATAATAAAACAAACCGCACCTCTATGTATAGCTACCGAATGATAATATTAGGAGTTTTAGTTTTATTCGACTCGACCGGCGTACAAACGGGATAATACGCGATAGGTAATAATAATGTATCACACGGAATGCTACTAATTAATATTACTGTAGAGCACGGATTTATACGCACCTAAAATTCACAAAAAAAACGTTTAAAAACGTCAAAAAAGCTGTAAAAAAAAAAAAAACACTTAAAAAGGACGGAAATATTTCGCACGTGGGTACAGCCACTGTTGTAGGTGGAAAGTTAAGAAGATAGGATACAGACGGGAATTGAATGTATATCTGTAAGCGACGATAAACCGTTGATAACGAAAAGACGATTCTGAGCGGTGTTCAGTTGATAGTGTTGCTTTGTCAACAATACAATATATGGTATATATCATATTATGGTAAAATGATTACAACAATGTGCGTTTCCATGAAAACAATGATTGTTTAAAAAAAGATTAAAATAATGAAAACTTAATAATAACAAAAAATAAATGTTTTTATTTATTTATTTTGTATATTTATATTTTGTATATTTAAAAAATAAATAAAAACGGTTGTCAATGAAAACCTTATTTTTAATCTTTCAATCTTGTTTAACCTAAAAACCGAGGCTTTCTTCATAATGTCGAATATTAATGAGAATTTCAAAAAAATAACCTCTTTAAAGTACCACCCAGAGAATATTTCTTTTTAAAAAAGGATACTTGATAATCGGAGTATGCTTTCAGGTAGAAAAAGTGTTCACATAAAAAATAAAAAAAATAAACATCATTGTAAAACCAATACAATCCTCGCTCCTCTCAGAATCTAAAAATATTTAAAAGAGCAATAAAAAGGTTGAGCAGTTTGAAAGTTTCCCTTTCTATTGTTTCTAACTTATTAGAAATAATTATTGAACACTAATAAAATGTTTATTTCAAAGTAATTTTTTTCAAATAAATTTGTACGTGTTATAAAAAAATGTTATGCTTTGTGTTTTGTCAGTATGAGAAAAATGTATTTAATGGGTTGAGTGAGAATTGTCTGTCAGAGTGGGGACTTAAAAACTCATCCATACCACTTTTGCTTTTTTGACGATTTTAGCGCTTTTTTACGGATTTTAAGTGCATATAAATCCATGTCCTAATTATTAGATGTACAATTTTACAGTAGGCGAAGGAAGAGTAACAGTATAACGCAAGTACTCGTGTGTCCAGGGGAAAGACAAGAAAAAAAAAAAAATACCAAACAACTCTTCTTCTCGGTTTCGTTTAAACCGGTCGTGCAGTTAATCAGATGCGTTTGGAAAAAATAAATAGTACTTACCTTAACGAATTATAAATATCCGTATTACTCATATACACACCCGTTTTTGTTATGCCCCGCGGACAGGATCGGCTTGGGAAATATCGGCGCAGTCGATTTCGCGGGGCCACGATTCGCCGATATTACTTTTATTTCTTCCAATACCGATGATGTATGCAAATCTTAACAGAGTTCTTCTGGTGCGTCCGTTACTTTTAATTCATATTTTTCTAAATAATTATGCGAAATTATCATTTATGAATTTATTATCAGTTAAAAATAAACGACGTGACGTAAAAACAGCGGGCTCTGTACGAGTGCACAGCTTACACAGTTGCACCGGCCTTGTCTGCAGAAATGCATAATATTATGTTAATGTGATTGTAAATTGTGAACGTATTGAATACAGAATTTATACGTAGATACTTACCTACAAGGGCCCAGGGCATTAACGCGTTAAAAAGTTAAAAGTTAAGTGAATTCTAACTTTCAGCTTGTTAACCTTTGGTAGCTTTAGGCCACTAAGATTTTTACAAAAAATAATAATTACGTTCGCGTTATTTTCATGAATAACGAGTTGATTTCGTATTACACGTCGTCAAATATTATTTTCTTTTAATAGTGCGTTAAAAAAATTGTAATTTACCTACACTATAACAATATGTAAATACCGTATCGTAAAATTATAATAAGTTTTCGTGCCGTTTTCTTTTGATAGGAAGGACCGTAAAGTGTTCATACTCCACAACACTAGGCACACGGCCTTTAGATATTATTATTGTACATTTATGTTTTCAACAAATCACAGTTTGAATATGAATACGAATTCAAATTAACTTATATCAACGATTTACTTTCAACGCGTTAACTGTTTTACCGATTAAACTTAATCGAGTTAATATTATTCATTAACTTAGCCTGCCTCGGTTATATCTTTCTTCGTATAAATAACTACCTTTTTTCTCACGTCGTCCGTCACTTTACGCTTCGTATTTTTCAAGCGTCTTACGTCGTTTTTTTTTTTTGTTTTAATCCGTCGTATATATTATACACTTTCAAATCGTCTTTTCTGTTTGTATTAATAATAATAATAATTCTCAACGTATAACCTTTTTATCCGTAATATATTATGGTTTATAACTTTTGATTACCATTATTATCATCATTATCGTTATATACCGCACTGCACACGCACACAGAGACATACACACACACACACACACACGTATTCATATAAACGTTGGTAAAACGATCGCACGGGCCGTCGCGCTACCGATGAAAAGAATATATTATTTTTATGCATGTATAAGTATAATATAGGTATATATACACCGTGTCTTGTATCGTGTTTAGTTTTTTTTTTTATAATACGATCGAGAAAAAATATTACTCTTGGTTTTTTTTCGGTTTTTTACTCGGGGCTTTATGAAGATTTATGAGAATTTTTTCTTTTCGCCTCTTTTTTCGTGTCTCTCCCCTTCCATTCTGTGTATTGTATATGAGTCAGACCGGTTCCTTTAGCGCGTCCATCTCCCACAATATGCTCACAAACACGACTAGGTATATGCAATATTATTATTATCGTATCGGCCTCCGCGTATTTCATCAATCCCATTGTGTGCGTGTTATTATTATAAAGTTTAAATTTATTCGACTGTTGCTAACGCACTAACCGTTGCGTCTACAAAGACGACGAGTAAATGCGTATTGAGCTACACCCTGTATCGACTGTGCACAGGGGTCCATCAAATTTCACGTTACAGTTAAATTTCCCATGACGTAATTTTTCTTAATAATAGAGAAACCTCCGAAGAAAACAACAACGTGTAAACGGTTTCTGTTAAATTGATTTCGACACCACTATTCTCCCTAGACTCAAACTTAAAAGTAGAATATATCGTTACCGGATTGATGGAAATCAAAAATGTCTACATCAACATTTATTTTAACTAATACTCCATCTATGTATTGAATTTTTGATGTAAGTTGCCATTTAAAAATCAAAAGCAGGTAGTGGTTTTATTCCCAAAAATAAGGGTGGCAAAAAAAGAACATAAATATAAAATTGTAGAGCTGCTTGTTCCTTAAATGCTCTACAAAACAAATTCCGAAAACAGTTAATACTTAGTAATATAAGTGTTTACGACATATTAATCACTCTGTATTGTGTCTGTTATTATAACATGCGATCAGGTCCAGATTGAACCAGCGAGCTACCGAAAAAATCTTGGTGGGCCGCGCAAAATTATACCCGTTTTTAATTAAATGTATGGCTATTTTATCTGTTTTGTAAAATTATGTTTAATTTATAAAATCCTAAAACTCAGTGGGTCGATATATTTTCTACACGGCGCTTCACTCCAGTATACATAAAATTAATCTATTTTCCGGTACTTTTGGACACTTCGATAACATATTTTGATCGAATTTAAATATGAATCCCACCATGCTGTTGCGGGAATAGGGTGTTTTTTAGTATTACGCTCCCCTTAAAGACCCCTCTTCCTAAATAATGTCAGGGAGATAAAACCGTTTATATGCATGGCGTAAGTATTAATGACGTGCCTTTTAGAGATTTGAAATTTAAACTATTACCCCAACCATTTTTATGTTCAAATTTCATGTTTTGACAGGAAATATCGGGTTTAAAATATCTCTACACTCTCATTCAAGTGACGAGATTAAAAGCTGTATAAGAAAATATAAATAGCATCGTTGTCAAGGATGTGCTTTTAGAAGGTTTCAACTTCCAATTCCCGCCACCACCGTCCGTTAGCAAAAATCTCGAGTAGTTACTATTTTACCTGTTTTGATGTAACATTTGATTTCTTATCGGTAATGAGATACTTTTCATACCTAGAATAAGGGGGGGGGGTTAGTAAACTGATATAAGTTAAGGGAGGGGGTGGTGGGTGTCAATGTATTTAAAAAACCAAAAATAATTGTGTAAAATGTACATTAAAATGGGTATTTCAATTTTGTTTCAATTAGCTTACATTCTTCGACTGCCCGAGTACTCAATGAATTTAATCCCTCCTAGGTAGAAAATAAGCCGGTCGGATTATGTATGCGACTATATCGAGTTTACAGTACAAAATTTAAATTATATCATCGATTATATCGTTCATTTTTTAACTATGTATATAATATGGTATTTTTAAGACTTTATAACTACAATATTACACTCTAATTATTATATGAAGCATATAATAATAATAATAATAATAACATTAATAACATTAATAACATAAGAACACTGTTTTTTTTATACCACACAGCTTTTTCCAGTGAGTAAATTTCGTATATATTTACTTATGTACGGGGTGATTTTTTTTTTCATCTCGTTCAAACGATTTTATCGAAGGATTTTTCGCAAGTTAATCTTTTTATTTTTTATTAATCTTTATGGAATTGTTAAAGATTTAATTTAACTCTATTTTTAAATTGATACCTCTAGACTCCTAATATCTTAAATGAATATCTATTTTTAATTTTCAAATGGCAACTTCCTTATTCAACATGGGGTTCGAAAAATAATAATATATTTATATATATATTTTTAAAATTTTTATGTGCATAACACTAAAATCGGATATACCTACCGGCTCTGCGTTAAAATTGTTTAAAATGTAGGCTACAGGAGTAGGTATTATCGTCTACAAATGTATATGAAATGTATTGTATGTATCCTTCCGCTACTGCTTTCCGGTCTTAATGTTATACTGTTATAATTTATAATTTATAAACGGTTAATCCAATATTTGTCAAATACATATCATGGTTTTCAGAAAAAAAAAAATAATCTCTTTTTGAATCTAATATTGCTAGAAGTATTTGAAAAATTAAAAATTGATATTTGTGAATGGTGTACGGATATTATATTGAAAATGTAGTAAATCATATCATTAATCGATTCTATAACAACTGATAAAACCAATACTAAAATCAAGGTAGTTGCTGGATCATGATAAAAATAAAAAATCACCCTGTATATTTTCTGTGCATTCATTTATTTTATAATCATGAATAGAGCACCTATAATATAATATTTACCTTGGCTTTTTATCGTTAGCTATTATTGCTATTAAGTGTACCTACACATATGGGTACTGGGTTGTAGTCATAACTATACCATAATATGCGTGCGTTATATGAATTCTTTATACTAGTTAAGCTGTATATTTTTAATTATATACGGAAGATAATATTTTAATTAAATAAATCTTATTATTTTACCGGTGTTCTACTCAGAATCTTAATGAAATAATTAAAAATATCATTATTGTTTCACTCGTATATTAATATATATTCATTAATATATAGGTATATTCAGGGGCGGATTGGTCCGTCTGGAAATGGGAATTTTCCAGATGGACTGGACCATATTATGGCCTGGTAGCCCGACCATTTTTTATTGGTAACATAATTCTTAAGTAAATTTTTTTTTTTGTTTTATTTCGATAGACTGTTTAAATATTATGCCATTATTAATGTACCTATAATTTTGAATACAATGTATGAGTAAGCATTGAATACAAAATTTCAAAATATTAAAAAACAAAAACATTGATATGCGTTGATTGGCTAGAAATAGAAAAATAAAAGGTTTGCAATCAATGATAAACCGATTGAAGAATCGGAAAAAAAAATTGACTGGGTAATAGGTATTGAAATTTACAAAAGTAATAAATAGGTACTAATATTAAAAAGAAATGTACAATATCAAGATTAAGAGTGTTAAAAATTAAAATACTAACGATATATTGATCGACTTACCTATCTTTTTTATCCCCATCATAATTAATTTTATTTAAAAGAGGACTATATCAACTAATTCTTTTGTACAATTAACTCAAAACGGAGTAATTTATAAGATATAAGTTAGTATTATAAGATAATAATGTGTTGACATTATTTTTTCGGTTTTCTCACATTATTAAGAAAAGTAAGATAGATAAAAAAAAAATGACCTTTCTTTTGCACTAACAAGACAAAATTGTCTACTTGAATCTAATCTTGAAGTTGATACAAAGTGAAATCTATTTTACAGAAATGTATGACATAGGTATTATCGTAACAAAATTAATTCGCAGCACTCAGTGTTTAAAATTTATTAAGTAAACCATTTACTGTGATATTCACGTTGATTTTTTTCCTAAGATTTGGAATCGCAACTAAAATTAAATTATCTAGTTCACCAAAATAGAATTTGAAATTATTTTTAACTATGTATTTAAAGCTAAATGTATTAATGCAATTATTTAACCAAACTTTTTTTTTTATACACATAATACATTATTATTGAAAATGTAGTTCTGTGAGTTCAAATTAAAATACTGAAATCAAGCGTAATGAGATAATGTCATTTGGTACGTTGCCTGGGATACCTTTCGATCTCCCGGCCTGAATTTTATTCTCACTTCGCCCCTGGGAATGTTATAAATACTAGAAAGCGCAGCAATAATATTATAATATTCCTATATTTTAATTTAAAATTTATCTAGATAAAATGTATTAAACTTTAAAGTATTCTTTAATACTTGTACTATAATATGTTCGACGTAAAATCACCTGATGTAGAATTTGATAAAAAGTATAAGTTTAAAGTAGATCCAAGTTTACCTTTTCGTTATTAGTAAGTAGTATTAAAATAGTACGCAAATAGTACATATCATTGCTTAGATACATGCCGGTATATTTTTCCGTTATTAGGTTAGGATAGATTGGCTATTTTTATTGATTTTAGTCTTTAATTTCCAACATTTTATATGAAACTGTACGTATTTTAAAATTCGATTCAAAATAGTGGACTAATCAATCTATATGTAACATGTACACTTCTCGAATTCATATACTGAATATACATTTGTTTTTAGAACCCTTACCGCTTACTACTACGATCTGACCAATTGAAGTGAAAGCTTCAGTTCGGAGTAACAGTCACTGAAGCATTATAAATAAATATATCAGGGCAATAGGTATTTTTTTAAAAAAAATGATTAGTGGATATTATTTTTGTGTAACCTATGATTTATCACGAATGACAAAGTAAATATGTAAGTTAAGTTAGAAAATTGTATTGGATTTAAAATAATGTAAAATTGCAAATTTCAACATGGATTGTTTATTCTCGCTAGAAATCGGAATTTAATGAACCCATTTTATGAACCTAAAAAATACTTCCACGTTCCGACCGACGTTCATGAAATGGATGTCCATTTCATGCAAAGTTTGATTTACCTTATATGTAGATACAACATAATATTTATACATTTTGTAAGCATATTAAACAAAATAGGTTTTAGTATGACGTTGTTTTAAACAAAATTCCAGTTTTCTTTCAATTATTGACACTTTTATACAACGAGAAATGTCAGTGCAATGTTTGTAGTTTAATTTTGCATTTTATAAGTTTTGTCTTGATAATAAAATTGTTAAATAATCGAATTTCATCGCGTGAATACACGTAATCAAATGAACTTAGCAATTACGTATAATATATAATCATTAAGAAATTCAAATTATGAACTAATTATATTCTTACTACCTACCTACATATAATTTAATGTGTGGATATAATTATCGACTCTAAAGTTTAATACCTATCCTATAAATATGCGTTTATGTGGCTCAGTAATACCAATCAATTAATAAGTATCTACAATAATATGTATTATATGTGTGTGATGCTCATTAATATTGTACAATTTTATTAGTAATTATTATATATAATTGCATATATTTAATAATAGGCATCTATTATTATTTACAAATTGGCTTCGTACTTAAATTATAATATATCTTCAAAATAATTAACATTTAATGTTTAATTACTTCGTTTAATATACTATAAATACGTTTTACAATATGTTGTTTTTATAATTTTATTTTCATTTTTATATTTTCGAATTTCGGGTTTATAATAATAGTATTTTATTTGAAAATAAATTTGAATTCTTAAACTCGTTTATTTGTTTAAACGAATAAATGACGATGGGAAAAGTATTAGTCAGTAAGTTAACTAGCGAAAGACCAAATATTTGTAATAATTGTATTTCGAAGAATGTACACTGTTCTCTTGGTAGTTAGATATTTGAAACATTTGAAGTGTATCAAATTTTTGAATACCTAAGTGTTTTATTTATCAACAAGCAATAAATAGGGATAGATGGTACTTTTTATTTTTATTATTATTTAAATGAAAATTGTAAGGTCTAAAAGATAAGACAATATAAGACATTATAAAGTATTCATAGTATTCATGAGACCTATAATGATACTGTATGCATGTAGGGCTTAAGCATCAATAAAGTCGGTCGAAATGAGAAATCATATATATTATATAAAATATAATAATAATATTTGAGGGAAAGATCTCACGTAAAATATATATTTTATGATTCTAAAAGAATTGAGAATATATTATGAATGAAGAACACATATAGAGCTGAGACTGTGATCAATATTTAATGGATCAGATCTAGTTGGAGTTTTCAAAAACTGAAGGATAAGCTAGAGCGGGTAGAGAGACTCTAAGTCAACTAATCTGTGAGATCAAGATGTGGAATCAGAGAGAAAATACCACGATGACGACTAAGTAGTGGTGGTAAAGGTGTAGTGGTAAAGGTGTAGTGGTAAAGGTGTAGTGGTAAAGTCAGGAAAGACTACAATCTCCTGGGAATAGGAGACGAAAAACATTAAGTCACAAAGAGATATATATATATATATATATATATATATATAGGGGAACGTAGATATAGGGGTGATGGGTTTAAAAAGCCCACCTAATTTAAGCGAAATAATGGTTTCATAAGTATTGATGAAATTATAATGATTTAAAGTTTTAACTAGCCTTAAGGGTTATTACCTTTATTACTACTTAGTTTGTAATGTTCTTATATTCTATTCGTTCGATTTTTAAAATTTAATTTGTCGACAAATTTAAAATTTGGTATATATTTTTGTGTGCCGTGATGTTAAATCACGGTAAAAAATTAACATGCACTATGAACAAAAAAATACATTATTGAATATCTTATTTTAAAAATGAATGCAAAACAAATTATCTTATCCTTTGAATGTTTACTTTACATTTTTTATAGTAACTTAACACCAAACAGAAATTTTATATATCTCTAAATATAAGTATTTTAATGAATAAAACTTTTAAAATTAATATTACACAAAATCTTTCAAATTTCATGTTAAAATTAAATATCCCACGAAATAATTTTTTTTTAAAAAAAATAATTTGTGTAGTTATTGAAATCATTATATACTCTAAAACGTTTCATTGTCATTATCTTTTTCCTTTTTTTGGGGGGGAGGGGAACACTATCCACTTTTGATTTTCAAACAGAAACATATATTAAAAAATTCAGAATAGATGATATTTTAGTTTAAATACATTTTGGTATTAACATTTTTAATTTCCATCAAAACTTTTTAACTAAAACTTCATTTTCCTATGGAATTTGTATGATTTATTTATGGAATTCCAATTGAATTTAAACTCAAATGATCTAAATCACTCTAGGAAACATGTATTTAAATGAGTAAAAAAAAAAAAACAACCTAACCGTATCGTTTTTAAAACGAAATATCAAATAACAATTAACCATTGAACATAGCAATTTTGTTAAATGCTCTCGTCCGTGACTAATCTCGAGTTGACCATTTATATTGAAAAACATAAAGAAACAAAAAATGAATATAATGATTTTTTTTTTTTTGTAATACATCAAAATAAATGAGTGGTACAAGTTACACTTTACGGTAGATGGGAAATTTAGTTGTGGCCATTTGGACGAAACCGTTTTGGCATGAGACGTATTAAACGTAAAAAAAAACATTTCCGTGATTAGAGGTTCAAAATTTTGTGTTGTAATTCAATTAAAAACAACCGTAAGAAATCAAATATTTTTACCGGATACTTAAATTGTCCATTTCTAAACGTGGTAAAATTTTCAAAATATTCTGGCAATTTTTTAACTATTCATAGCCATTTTCAATTTATTGTTAAGTGGTATTAGTTTTTATTCGGTTTTATGTGGATAAAATTATTTTTCTAGGCCACAAAGATGATCGAAATTTTAACACGAGGTTCATCATAAGTTGATGGTGAAAAAAAATTTTATTGTATTTAGTCGTTTATTTTTTTATGCGTATTTCAAAATATGTTTAACTGAACTTTGTGCAGAATCTTTTTACTACTATTCATCGTTGCGTGCAGATGAAATTTAAACTACCATATATATCGGGAATTTTTAACCTGTTGTTTAGAGAGGTTAATTTGGAGATCTACGGAGTAGTGAGTTTTTTTTCAAACAACTCAAAAAATAAACTTGAGATTTTCTTCATGGACACGACCAATCAAACAAAATCACAAGACCAATTGGATATCAAAGAGGATATGCGTATTGATCTAGCTGTACCATCAGGCGGATAATTTGCATTTTTTTTTTAAGTATTGCATGAAAAACGTAGAGCTTTCAACGAACTAAAACTTGTTTTCCTGAAAAAAAAATGTCATAAATAGATCTTAAATACCGTATCATATTTATAATTATCAAACAAAAATTTCGTTGAACTATATAGATTTATTGGTTATAATGGTGAAATTAACTTGTAAAAACTATGATTAATAGTTAAATAAATTTTTTTTTTTTTTTTTTATTAGATAAAATTGACAGTATAATTATAAATATGTACAGTAAGTAATTAAACCGATTTTAAAAATAATCCTGTATCAATACATTTTAGATAATAAATAATAACCAAATAATTTATATTTTTTAACATCTATGTCTAATTATAACACATTTTAAATAATCTCTCCTATTAAAATAAATTATTTTTATGTAAAACGACCAATTTGCATAATTTTTTTTTCCTATATATTCCTTTATTAAATTTTAGATTCCGAGCGTAGCTATTGGTTTTACAATGTTGTTTATTTCTTTTTTTGTTCTTTGTTCTAGTTTGTGGACACGGTTTTTTCGTAGTAAATTTGCTCTGATTTTTACGTGTAGCGACTTTTCTGAAAGCTCAAGTTTTCTAGACTTTACAGAGGTTATTTTTTGATTTTCGACGCCATTTTTTAAATAAAAGCACTCAATTGGGAAAAAAACGCAGGAAAATGTACAATTTCACGATTTAATAATTTTATAAAAACACGGATGACACCTTTTTGATTTACTTTCTTACGGTATCATAGCCAAAACTTTTGAACTACTTTTGAGCTTTTAAGGAATTTTAATTTTTGGGAGTTTTTTTGATGTAATTAAGATAAATACACGTAAAGACTTGAAACCTGGTAATCATACTTATATTGGACTTACCTAGACGTGGTCAAATTTTAAAAATCATTGGACTTCTTTTTTTTTTTAATAAGCGTTTTGAAATCAAATTTAAACGAAAATCGCAAACAAATTTACGGCACTTGAAATTATGTATTATCGAACTGCACTCGAAATCGTCTTTCGTCAAGCAATGTTTTATCGTTGCTTACAGATATAAATGAGGTTATTAATAAGTTTATTACCTTATGTATCCTGCCTTCCCAATTTATTACCTACAACAGTGGCCGCTCCTATCCCCAGTATCAGCTCTTTCTTCTTTATATTCAGTCGCATTTTACGTTTTGACTGTGATATACCCGATGATGAATTTTTAATTTGAAACCGGTCATACAATACACTTAACTTATTACTCCAGGCGACTCATTTATTCATTGATTTTTTTATTTATTTCTATATATACATTTATTATTTATATATTTATTTACTATATTTTGTAGTAATTTGCCAATAATTCATCTTTGAAACACGGATCTCAAATACTTACAAATATTACGAGAGACGATGTCCATAGCGCAGTATAATAATTATGTAAATTAGTGAAATTTGTTCGGAACAAAATTAATGCAAACGACATCTATAATTTACACGTAATAACTTTTTTACGAGGATTTTGTGATAATAATTTTTTAAGTTATCGGTGCTTAAGAAACGAGATGCATATTAAACGCATTCATATATTATTTGCATATAAATATGTTTATACAATTTAATGCCGTATACGGTTATAGTTGTAATTTTTAACTAGAGTACAGTTGCTGTACCGTCTATAGATTAATTATACCTAGTTTAATTGTAATATATTATTTACTGCATTACTCGTATTACATAATAATATATAATTTATAATAACAATATATTATGTAGTTTTTTTAAATAATTAATGACGTCGCGTTAATATTTTAAAACCATATAAATTGTTATACTTGTTATGTGTTAATTATTAATTATTGCATTTTCGATCATGATTCTTGGTGTAGGTTTGAAATTAATTTTTTTTTTTAGAAAACGATTGTTCGTTGACCGTAAACCTTGTTTTTTTTAAAAAACTAATTATTGATACGTGTATGTACCTATTAATTTCCTAGTTTCCGTGTTTTTTTTGAAACAATGCCCATAATTTACTTTACATTGATATTTTATGTTATGCTCAATTTAATACAATTATACATGTATTTATGACGCCGTCGTACTAATGCGAAATTTTTGTCTTGTCATACGAACGAAAACGGATTTATCATAATATTATAATATAATACCTAGTTATTTACAATGCTGCGTTTTTATTATTATCATTATTATTGTTCTTTTTTTCTCGGAAAACGCTTTTTAGGGCAGTAAAAGTGTATATTATGCTGCGAATGTTTGTTTTAAACAGTACGTTATGCGCGGTTAAAATATAGTGTAAAACGTAGTTTTGCTTTGTTTTGTTTTTTTTTTTTAAATTTTTCAACTTCATTACAAATACTGAGCGAACGACTGAAGAATCGAGAAGAAAGTACCTATCTCGCGTATTCAAGTTTTAATTTTTTGACTATGTACCTAATCTTTTTATGAATATAATTATTCTTTATCGTTTCTATAGAGATGAGCCGACGTTAGTGATATCCGATGTATTAACAGAGATAGGACAATTTAGTGTATGTACTGTGAGCAACGATCATTACAATCAAAAAACGATTCCGATTAGGTAAAATGGTGTTTATAAGGTTACATTGTAAGTCGTGAATCATTTTCCTTTAAGAAAAATTGACGGAAATCTAGAAAAATATTTCAAATATTGCTACTTATATGATCATAGCTCTGCTCATAATCTGAAATGCAATATACGGCTGAAATATTTTGCTCTTTTGTAGGTCAAAGAGTGTATGCCAATATTTTCGAATTAAAAGAAACAATCAATTGTACGGAGCTCGAATAACTATACTCAAAATTATTATTAATATTCTAACGCTATCATTTAAATATCATGATTTTAATCGATTGTACTGCACAGTTGTTTATTTGTTATCATTGGAAAACGATTAAGATATTTAATATAAAACGATGACGTTAATCGTTAACGAAATATAACACTGAGTAATATTATGAGTAACGACCAATAATAAATGTACTATTCAGACTGACAATTATTAAAGTGTACATGAGACACGTAATAAATAGAGTAGAATTTGGATAATTTAAAAATAAACTTTTAATAAAAATGTGTGAAATTATTGAAAAAGACCGCCGTGACCTTGAATCGCTTAGAACAAAAATTTATTATTATTGAGATTTTTTTTCATATTACATATATTATGCTTGAATAGAGCATTGTTATTATATTGTTAACCTTGAATAATTTTAAGAATTCAGAAATACATATATCAAATTTTATTAGTTTTAACTTAATAAATGTTATCGTCAACAGTTAAATTAAATGGTATAAAATAAATTGCTGGTTATGATTTTTAAAATGTGATGACTTTTTATACTTTTGTCTGTGAACATCTTTTACACCCGAAATCTTGCTTTAATCGAAACAAACCTAATGAACATGTAGTAAATTGTATATAGTTGGTGCAAGAAGGTTTTTTTTCTGATTTTTCTTGTAGTTTTTTTTACTATGCGGAAAAACTAGGATTAATGTTGGTTAATCGGGAAAAACCGTCGGTAAACGGGGAAATCTACGCAATAAATGTTTCTGTTATTTTTGATTTTGTTTTTTATTGTAATTAAGTTAAAAGTAATCGTAGAGATTAGAAAATGTTCACCATAAGTTATACTAAATAGATAAAGAAAGTTAAGCGTATTATAATACTTTTTTTTTATAAGCGTGTTTAAAGTTAACATTTTGATGAAAGTTGTATCACTGTAAAACACTTAATTCAATGTCTTTTAGAATTGGTTTTCGTTAGCAATTTGCTGTGGTATATTTTTTATTAGATATAAATAAAATTACTATAATTATCCTTAATATACCTTCCTTACTTTTATTTTTAGTCATTTTTATATATTCGAGAAAGCTGATGAAAAATCTAAAAATGACCTTTATGCATATCAACATTTCTGACTGGGATATGCAACTATTCCGGAATCCACAATCGTAATTTAATTTAATATTTCAATTGTATTTTCCAAATTTGTTTATGTTAAAAATTTATAAATATTTGAACAATGATAATACAAATTATTAACATCATCATTATTAATAACGATGATAATTAAATTATTAATGTTCGATAACTAACGTAATAAACGAGAAAACATCTTACAAATTATCAAAAATTCATATCCGTCCATTTAATTCTTTAATGGATTGTGAATTAAAGAAATTAATACTTCATTATGTAAGAACATATTTTTAATATAAAAAGTAGATACTTTTATTATATCAAACGTTTTATAGTTTTACACTTTTAGCTCAGTTTTAGTGGATCGCAGTGGATTAACATTAATATTTCAATACCTCTGGATAATTTTTCTTTTGATCAATACACATTTAGCAATGAGATATTCTAACTGGCAGTGATTCAAATTGTTAGGTATATTATTGCCAACTTGAATGCATTCAATGCGGTATATCGTCATATCGATAATAATAAAATAAACGCCCAGTTCTCGGTTCCGGGCGTGGTACATCAAACACACGTGTACTATTATATTATGCAATTTTAAAATCCTTGCGTATTCTTGCTATAATCAAAGAATTTTTTTCTCCCTGTTAAATGTTGTATTGTTGATAATAAATTAAAAATCTAAAGAATATAGCAATTCATGTGTTAAACAGTAGCACAGAACAGTTAGTTTAGTTTAATTTTACAAAGATGCGTTTTTCTCCATGGAAAAACTTTCGGTCAGTAAAAATGCTTTGAAATTTCCATTTAATTTCTTAAAATATGCCTATTTTTTGACTGATGACACTTCATTTGAAACATTTTTCAAAATTCTCAATATTTCCTCAAAAAAATTGCTTTTTATGTTGTTTTGTGAATACTTTTTTGGTTATGAAAATTTTCCAATTTTTTTACGAAGAAAATACAACAATTTTGTCTAGAAGTACCATATTTGAGACATTGATCGATATTTTCAGTAGTTTTTCTGAAACATCTTTTTTTTTGTTTTTTGATTTTTGTTGATTTCCTGTCTTCTAGATAACCTTAGCAATAATCCAAAAAGACAACTAATACTACTCTGCCTTGAATCGTGTTTTGATTGCAATGATTTGTCATCATATAAGTATGTAAACTGAATACCTCTGTAATCCTTATCCTACCTTTCCAAATATCCATACACAATTGTGATTTGTACGTTTTTCTATCTATGTTGAAAATATCAAATTTTAATGAAATTTAAAAATATTCAGCTTTTTTTTCGGGAAAACTTTTTGGGCCAGTAAACATGTAAAAAAATATTAATTATTCAGTGCCTTTGAAGATGGGTAATTGAACGCAGATGGTACTTGATAGAAGCAGTTTTTTAAACTTTCAAACTTAATGACGTGAAAGGACAAAAATAAAATAACGGTGATTATAATACAACTAAAGCGTTTTAATTCGAAACCGAAGTTGGATTCAGAATTGTTTACTTAAAAATGATCATACCTACAGTTATACTTAACATTGTGTTCTCAAGAAGGCTGACCCAAAACAGAGTGCCGCCTTAACTGCGATAAAGGTTTGCATACTTTTTTGTTCGAGTTATTATTTAATACACTCCGTTGGTTGTTTTAATAGAAAGTAAAGTCGGTACAAATCGATTCGGTATTAATTTAATTCAGTTAAGTCAATAATAGAAAATGCAGAAAACAATCGTTTTTAAATAATAAATTCTGTATAAGACGTAACAATATTCAATACCTACATCAGACGATACCTAAATGTAACTTGTAAGTTATTTATTATCGGTATTCAATTTTTGTAGATAAAAAAAAAAAATATCGAATACTGTTTTACACATAACTTATTTAATTTTTTTAACAAAATTTAATGAATGATTCTTAAAAAATATACATACTTGATTTGTTCGCATTTATCATATCTAATTGCTGTGTATCATTAAGTTTAATTTTAATTAGTGGGTTTAGACTAACGGAATTTAAATATTCAAATACTTTGAGGGTAATATATTTACTCAAATAAAACAATACCATTTCAAAAAAAAATATTTTTTTTATTTAAGTCTTTTTTTAAACATTCGTCTGTTTGCTATTAACTTAAAACTATAAATATAAACTATTGATTTGAATTTTAAAAATATTTTATCTACCTCTTACGTTGTATTGCAAAAAGCTACAATTTTTTACGTAATCATATAATAAACTGAAAATATAACAAATAAGTTTAAATAAACTAGCTATAATAAATGTAAGTGCTTTTTGAGAAAATAGTTATAATCAAAATGGCCATCAAAAAAATATGCCATCAATTTAATTTACAAATAGATATATTTTTTTATTAAGAATGGAGTGAAAAAAACGGACATACTTCGCACGTGGGTATAGCCACTGTGACACTGTTGTAGGTGATAAATAGGAAATGTGGATACAGACGGGAATTTAATGTACATCTGTAAGTAATGATAAACTATTAGTAACGAAAAAAACCATTCTGAGCGGTGTTAAGGTGACAACTTTTTTTAAATCTTTCTATCTTTTTTAACCTAAAGAACCAGGTTTTCTTCATTATCTCAAATATTAATGAAAATTCCAAAAAAAGACCTTTAAAAAGTACCACCCAGAGAAATTTTTTTTTAAAAAATGGTATTATACTTGATAATCGGAGTAAGCTTTATAATAGAAAGTGTTCACATAAAAGAAAATAAATCATTCTAAAACCAATACATTCCTCTGCTCAGAATCTAAAAATCAAAGTGGCTATCACAAAATATGCTATCAATGTAATCTACACCTTTATCAACAGTGTGAAAAAAATTAATCCATATATCATACAAAATAACTAAAACTAATTATAAAAATTGTATGTGTTAGGTCTGCTCATATAATTCAATTATTTTCAGTTTCTCTTCATAGTTATTTGTAATTTTATGAATAACTGATTTAAATTTAAAAATATATTAAATTGATAGGCATATAAATGAAATGCATAGCATGAAATCTATGCAAATTTGGTATTTTAATAAAACAACCAAATTAAGGTATTAATCTATAATGATCATAATACTATTAATACATTGACATATTTTAAATATTTATTGATTTGTTTGATAAGCACTTTATGAATCTTGTACAGAATAATAGTGAGTCTATTTTTTTTTAAGAATTCGTTTTCTTACCTATATGATTGAATATTATCATCTTTGTTTGGAAATTTTAAGTTCTACATTTACGTCATCTTTAGAATATGAAAATAATAAAACATGTTTAATTAAAAATGTCGTGTTGGAACGTTGACAAAGCTATAATTAAGATTTTAATTTAAATTAAATGTTTAATAATTAAATTTAAATTTTCCGAGTATCAATGGACGTTGTTTTATTTAGCTATATTACGTACTTTAAACTTTAAAGTACTATAATACAAATTTTACCGATTTATTAATTTGTTTGGTAAATTATAACTTCTATAAATATTTTTCTATGACGAGTAGTTACGACTAAAATTTATAAAAAAAATAATTGCAACTAATGTTATATAAATACTATGGGTACAAAAGAAAGATTTTTAATATTACTTTGAAGTTTATTTGTAAAAATTCTAGGTACATTTTACTTATAATTCGAATAATATTTGTTATATAATTGTATAGTGTGTTCATTAGTTATTTTTTTTTCAACTATTGGTATTTATGTAATATTTTACTTTGACATTTGTTTAAAATAGTCTGAACTTTATTATTATTCAGTGCACGATCAACAACCGTTCGTATTTTCTATAATTTTAATTTAACACTAATACGAAAAATACTAGGTATACATTCCTATGTTATACTAGATTTAATATTATACGTTTAAATCACGATAATTGAAGTTTACTGTTGTTCTTACCTTGCAACTTAAATAGTTCATAATCCAAAAATTATGGGTATCTAAGCTATAGTTGGATAACTTTCAAAATTTGTTGGACTTTGGTTAATCTATTGGTAAGTAAATTTAAACGTACGCTACCTATCTTACCGGTAGCAGTGAGAACGTTTGTATAGTAAATAATAATACACAAAATATTATTGAACTAGTGTTTTATTAAGTAGCTTTATATACATACAGATTTTCTAACATGCAAAATTAGCGTTGAAAAATATCTACTTAAGTTATACAATTTTTAATTTTTAGCAGTACTTGAAAGTAGGAACGAAATGAGATAATGGTCTAAAGAAAGACCGCATTTGGCATCAATGTGGAAATCACTGCTTTGATTTTGTTGCTGGTATCCTATTATTTTCTTATTTCACATCTACAACATAAGGCCTACGCATTGTGCGAAGTATTAAATTATTTCAACGTTTATAGGTATCATATCTTTTAAAATGAGTTTTATTGTTCCGAAAAGCAATCAGGTACAGCCAGTATGCTTGTAAAATTATTTTATTTTTAACAATAAAATAATTTTAGGTATAAAATATTTGTGTGTGTACTGCATTTTATTGGCGGGAATTATTACATACTACTGATTATCATATATTGTGTACGAATTTAAAACCTTCAATATTATGAAAACATAATAAACTAGCAGGTAGTTCATTTTCTTTAAAATATTTTTTTGGCCAGGTAAAATACTTAATCTTACACAGTTACACTATATATTGTTAATTTCGATTACGAATTTTTTTTATTACATAACGAAACTTGTTTCGAATAAATAGTACATAACGAATACTAATGTATTTAATAGTTCGTCGAAATCACGAGTACAATTTTATCTAAGAGCCCTAAATTAATCAAAAAGTTTTCAAATAATTACAATGATTATATTTCTACCATTATTAATTAGTCGCTAAAACCCATTTTATGTTTTTGTAAATCATAAAGTATATTCATGAAGTTTGAACATTCTCATATGTAGGTATCTAACAATAATATGTATGTAAGTGTTCAGCTTTTTAATAAAAATAGGTTAGCCATATTATGGGGGCATTGAGTTATTAAAAGAAACGTTTTAAATTAAAGCTAGATAGCATATCGATTTAGATATAAATAATTATAATACTCGTATTTATAAAAAGAGTATACCTATACAAACTCGAAGTCATTGGATTTTCATATATTCTTTTTTTTATATAAATAGAATAAGAAAAATGATAATAAACGAAATGTTTGCTATCGGTGATGTTATTACATATCATTATTATATTTACCTTCATTTATTTATGAAAAAAAAACTAAAAAAGCTCTAAATTTACCTCGTATATAATTCGTATATAATTTTTAAATTATATGTAATTGTACACAAGTAATTAACTGTAAAGACATTGACATTTTATTATTTAAAATTTTTAAAATTTTTAAGTGGCGTGGCGAAGTGAAATATTTTATCGGGCAATTCATTTTTTTTTAATGACCTACCACCACCTCTCGACTCTTAGGCATTGATCATTATCATTACCCATGAATAAATGTACAGTATTCTGGGCTGATGGCTTTGCCTAGAATACTTATTATTAATTTTATTATTCTTTTTTAATATCATATGACATATTCTGATGTAGTTAATCTTGTACTACAATATCTCCACAGACTCCAGTACTCAACCACCAGGCACCCACCCACCCACCACTTAAAATTATCGGGTGATTGCCCCTCAAAATCACGGCCAACACGCCACTGCAGAGATTCTTACAAAAGCACGGGAACCTAGAACAGTGTTTTATGATTAAAAAATGAATAAAAAAAAAAACAATTAGTTCATCTTTTTATTTACTTCGGTTACCTTTATCAGATTCAACAGATCGATTGCCGCCTGAAGAAGAAAGATAATCAAATTTATAATTAACTTACACGTGTGAATCAATTTTGTATAATTAGGCTGACCCATATTTTTTGGATTACAACAACGTTTTTGATTTATGTTTTATTTTTGATAAATTCAAAAATGTAAATGAAATCAAATAAGTATATAACTTATTATTTTTCAGACCATGCACAACTTTAATGTACTAGTGTTATTTAAAATGTTAATTTATTTGAAACCGTCGTTTTATCAATATTGAATGTATTAATATTATAGTTAGGTAATGGGATTCGAAGTTTTGAAGAGCGTTGTGTAGCACTATGGATAAATATTTTCTCCTCTTTTCAAAATTAGTTATCCTCTTGGGACATTCTGTATAGTGTATATAAACGAAATGCACATCATCGTAAAATTAATAATTTTCTCGTTTCACTCAAAATCATAAATACCTAATTAGTGTTGTATTTATTACATCCATAATTATTAGGTATATTATTTTAAGTTTTAGCATATTGTGTTATTCAGTAATTTACATTAATATAAATTAAATCCAATCTAGACTCAATATTAAAATTATTTGTTTGGCCAATTATAAAAATAAAATATCTGTAGAAATTAACGATTATTAATACAAGCAACTGGTTTTAGATAAAATGGTACTAATAGTTATTTATTTTAAAATATAATTCAGTGATTTAGAAAACATTATACTATTATATTTATCTAATCCTAAAATTACATAATAATAAAAAAAAAAATTCAACTTATAAATATTTTTTATTTTTCAATCGTTGTTTGTTTACTTTTTGAGCATACTTCCATTGTATTTTTTTTAACTAAAAAAAAATTGCTTTTAAAATTTCATTTAAAAATAAACAACGGATTCACATAATTGTAGTTCAAATAGTTTAGTTCAAGGTCGTTATTCGTGTGCAAATTAAACTATTAACAGACGCATCGTATAATAGAATTTTAAATTTTTTTAAATTTGACAACGTGTTATTATTATTTCAAAAGTACAAGAATTAAGACGGTATCAAATTGATAAATAATAATATATTCGTACAATATTATGACGTATGCTTTATTAAATTAGGCAATAAATATATTAAATATACAAAATATTGAATTGGATACCTATAATAAATTAAAGTACTATTGTATTTGTTTCATTGTTTGTGTTGTTCAATTTATTTTAAAATGGGTTCAAATTTGTGTTACGAATTTAAAATTTAATATAAATAACAACGAAGATTATAAATACGAATTCGTTTTAAAAGTTTGGCAAAGTTTACAAACGAAATATTTTGTATGTTTTCGTGTAAGTAAGCTGTCGCAATGCAATAGCCAATCGTATTTCGGTGACCACCATTTAGGTTTTTTTTTTTTTTGTATGTAAGCAATCAACCAGTCACATATTTAACGTTGTCAACGACTTTCTTCGCGTCCCACGCCACCTTGAATTAGTTTGTCAATTTGTTTCTTTTTTTTTTTTCATAAAAACATCTGTGTAAATTCGACATATTGGTTCGACCGTATTTCTATTTACTTAACAGAAAATATATTAAAAAATAAAACTTACGTTGTGTACGTTTTCGTCTATTACACAAAAAATCACCAGGACAGCGTCCGTATGCATTTCTTTTGCATTTACAAGTGTATCATTATTGTACGAATATATTTTATGCTAACCTGAATGACCTTTGTCGTTGAGTGCTCTAAACTGCAATAACGTATTTTTTTCCGCTCTGTACAGTGAACACAGGAATCCGAGACGCAGTGTTTGTCAATGTTCCCTTCCACTCCCGTCGTTTCACTGTCGAAAAAAAAAACAACCAGAAATAATAACCATCTGTGCACTACGTTTCTCAATAGCACGTCCTTTTTATTTAAATGTGTTCGTCGTCAGCTTGCCCGAACAGTTCCTTTTATAATCTAAACTCATTGTAAACGAGTTTTTTCACTGCCAAACGTTTTGCCCTAACCCGATTTCGTTCCGATAGGATATAAGAATATTATTATAATATTCAAATAAATTCTGATTGACCGAAATTTGAAAACGAAGAAAACGGTGTTCATCCGATTTATATATTTTTATGATGAGATAGATTATTATATTGTAGAAGCATAGTACCGCAAATACAATCAAATGTATTGGCTAGCATTTAAATAAATAATTCAAAAAAGTGTAAAATATTAAAAATATTATACTATAAAATAAATTAACGATAAAAACACAAACGAGATAAGATATACCGTTAGGTTTAAAACATGTAGTTTTCGAATCTCGCATGGGTTTGTATTTAATTTGTTTGAATACCGTATATCGTTTTCTAATTACGACAAAATAACAAAATATCTTGTGACGATAAAATCATTTAAAATCCGTTCAATACGATGGAAATATTCTGTGTGCGCGTTCAAAATTATTTTTCGTAATTTCAAATTAAACGCCTACATTTTTTTTTTTTTTCGTGGTTAATGGATTTTTTTTACTACTTAACGAAAACGCGTTAAACGGTCAGCCGGATAACATAAGAGAGTATGAATTATTACCATGCACGTTGGTTTGTCGGCGATTTGAAATACACGTTCGTGTGTTTTAGCGAATTCGAAATATAATTCGAAATTTAATGATTCGTGGTGAAGGTCTACACGCGTGAAGTTCACGGACGTCGCCCATTAGCTTAACATAATACACAGCATAATGATAATACTATATAATATCATATTTTTAATACGGTTGCATCGAACGCGTGACGTTTGAACATCAGTCGATACAATGTTATTAAACGTGAACTAATAATATTAATTTTGTTTACGAAAATAATACTGTTGTTTTTTGTTTCGCGAAAAATGCAATAGACACCTATCACAGTATAACCGCAATAATGTATGATTACCGTATTACCGTTTTTTAGTAAATTAGCGTCTGCTAAATATTTATTCTATAATGATAGTGCAATCGCCGGCTATACACGAGCGGGTTTTTCGGTGGATTTGATCCTCGAAGAATCAAGCATTCAAATCCGCTGATAAATCCGTTTATGGGATGAGATATATTGGTACAATAAGTCTTACGGATCAAATCCATTGTCGGCCACTAATTGACAATAAAGACCGGATCTTACTGATTTTCCAAAAAAATCACTTATTTTTATCAGCTATTAAGTTTGAAGTTTGATTTTCGTAAAAATTTGAACTTGAACCTATTATTGGGGGGGGGGGGATTACGTTACGATCTATTTATTTTATTTACTGAATGATACAATAGTAAAATTTAATATGTTGAACTATGTGTTAAATTTTTGAGCAGTTTTGATAGGACTAAACAATTTTATTCACATAGATCGAAAAATAGTACCTATATGCCGTTAAATGTATTGATTTTTACAATTTTTGTTGAAATTCTAGAAAAAGCTTTGTATTCGGTGAATATAAATTATATTTGTCAAGAAATTTTGATACGCATAACACTAATATCAGATTTACCGTTTATGAGTTATAACAATTTAAAGCTTAGATCGGAGGAATAGAGCAGGGTCATAGATAGACAATCTATTACCATTAGCTTGAATAATTCCATAAATATTAGAAAAAACAAAAATTAAATTCACTTAAAATCCTCTGAGATAATTGCTGGTTTATGATGAAAATATCACCTTGTATATATATCATTTACAAAGCATTACTATTAACTGAACTCCGCTCAGAATCTTTTTTTCGTTAGCAATGGGTTATCGTTGCTTACAGATATACATTAAATTACCTTTAACAGTGGCTACACCCGTTCCCATTACCTTAGAATATCTTTTGCTTTTTAATCTTACAATTTTAGTCCATAACAAATTATTTAATTTCATAACGCGATTATTGAATTCGTATTATTTTGATTAATATTGAATATAATAAATGAAAAATTTATGGAATAACTATTGTGACAATTATAGCGATTAGTATACAAATAATCATCATCGATGTAGTACATTACAGTTAAATGGAAAAAATATGTTAAATATTCGCATAATATTAAACGATTGAAATGTAAATCTTTAATTTTTTTCATTTCTTAAGTATATAACTACTATCATGTAACCATTATGCAAATGGCAATGGCATTATTATAACTGTTATAAGCGATATGCCGAGATGTTATTTTTTTTAGATTCTAGAACTAGATGATCAACGAGGCGTTAATTTTTGTTTTTACCAACTAGCGTTTACAAATTTACTTTTATTTTGTGTTTTGATTTTGTGTTTAAATGATGTCTTTGTTCGTCGTTTGGACTCATATTTTGTGAAATGCTATAACGAATGTATTCGTTCGGTTTATTTATTACAATGCGCGCTTAAGCTAATTACAAAACAAACCATAAATCATATTCGTATTATAATAATTTTTAATAAAACGTTAATATTCTAAAGAAATACAAAATTAAAATATCATTTTCTCGGTTAATAAGTTTATAGGTAATATAGGAACTAAAATAACTATTTTATTTCTGACTAAACGGTATTGTAAATAATTTGGGATTCGAAATATAGTGAACAAATTTTCTATCAGAATTCATACTCTGATTAATCATTAATTTCAGTAGTTATATGTTTTTGATAGACGAATTGTGTCAAATTGGTTGTCATTTTTGATTTAATTTTTCATAATAATCGGGAAAAACTGAAAAAAATAATGTAGAAAACGGTAAAATTTAAGGTAATAACGGTTTTGTTATTTTCGATTTTGTATAATTTTTGTTGTTGTCATTCGGTTAAAAAAAAAAAATTAAAATATGGAATTTACACAGAATAGTTATATAATAAGCCTTATTTTGATGTGGTAAAATATTAAAACATTTTCTGGAAATTATGCATGAAGTTTATGATCAGTTGTGATAAAGTGATAAAAAAATGTTTATCGTAATGTAAGATTGTATAACGTATATTTAATGTATACATTTATATTCAAATTTTGACAAAAATCGTAACATTTAAAAACACGTATAACCGAATATTGACCAATATTAACCTAATCATATTTTTTTTAAAACGGGATATGGATTGTTAACGTAGTTAGATTCTCAAGTTACTAATGAAAGTCAGTGTTACCAACTAAATTACAGCGAACCAATTGATTGTTAAACGTTGAATCTTTCTTAAAAATATATATAAATTATTATTATTATAATATTATAAAATTACATATTTTTTTAAAAATATAAACCGAATAATGATCGTTCATAATATTATTCTAGTTCAAAGTCATCGAATTGTAAACGAACATAATAATCATCGATCTAAAATTTATGCATAAGTAAAATGATGTGTAATTCATTCAATTTACGTTTTATATTTTATTATTATTATTGTTGCAGGTTTTATTGGGATTTATGTATGCTTCTCTTGTTGGTGGCCAATTTGATTATACTTCCAGTTGGAATTTCATTTTTTAACGACGATTTTGATACAAGGTGGATAATATTCAATTGTTTGTCGGATACTATATTTCTCGTGGATATTATCGTGAACTTTAGAACAGGTAAACTCTCAAACAAAATCGTGTTAGTCTATGACAATCAAGAAAAACATTTTTCTTCTTTTAAATATGGGATACACTTATCCTATATATATATATATTACTTTCTAAGGTACTGCTGTTTTAAATTTTGAAAATATGGTTTGTAAAAAACCTTATTTTCTTTTCTTTCGAACAGACGTATAAATAACAGACGAATTAAAATACCCATCAGTGGACACTGACCAAAAGGACACTGCTATAAAAGAAAAAAAATGTGATTGTAACTCGTGAAATATTTCTTATGAAATATTTTATACGGAACGGTTAATATTATACAATTCACTAATATCTAACTAACTGAACTAACTGTCAATTATTATAAAAAATACTTCCTGTCGCATTTTAAACTTTTTATTAAGATATAATACAGACTTTCTTATTGTTTTGTATTTAAAAACCAATGATAAATAATTTCGTTCGTTTAACTTTATTTACATTCTATGATAACTTATGAATAAATAAAAAAATCGCGAGTAAATGGAGTTTTTGATATTGATTGACGTTCAGAATAAGGTATGAATAACCTGGAAATGAAATAGTCTTTACTTTAGTTCAACACGATTTCAAAAAATAAATAATATTAATATAACTTATCGATTTTAAATTAATTAAATTACCGTAAATAAATCTGCACCTTGCGTTAAAATTTTAAGATTAGTAATTAAAATTACAATAATTATATTGTATAAATAAACTTTAATGTTAATAATAACAGGTAATGCCGTTTATGTAATGTGTTCAATACTAGTTTATAATATCCACGTACTTGCCAAAAGTAGCCAAAATTTTTGTCGAATCAAATTAATTTTATTCGAGAATTTTAGATGATATTTATTTCTACATTTTTCCTTGTTTTTTAGAAAATTCTGAAAAGTCCAATATAAAATTTAATTATAATACCATAAATATTGAAAATTTAATTTCGAAAGTGAGTTAGTCGTTTGAACATATTATTTTTTTCGATCATCAATCAAAAACATTGAACAACTTTTGATTTATCGTTATTTCACTAAATAAATTTGTTTCGGCTTCGTATTATAAGTACCTATTACATACATTTTCAAGGTTCGTGATTATTTATTCGACTACTTATATAGATGTAAAATAATAATTTTATTGAGTTATAAACTTAGGGTGCGGCGCACTTTAATGTTTATGAAAATGTAGAACACTAAAATGTGTTATTATTTTGAGAGTTTTGTATGCAGACTGATACTGAGCCTAACCATTGTTTAAGAATAATATGCTTAATTTGCTAATATATATGTTTATTTTGTTTGGCTTGATTCGAGCAGGTATTAGAGTTTTACATCTTTCATATTTGAACGTATTTATAGTATTTACTTTTTTATTTTTCATTGAAATAAAATGTTTATAGGAAATAATTATTTAGAATTTTATTATAATGATTCGATTACCAAATTGGACATCGAAAACATCATTCTAAAATATTATTAAGTACGATATGATCTTGTATTAAAATATACATTGTACCTATTAATAATTTATTTATAATATATTTTAAATTTTCGAAGACCAATAATAATTTGTAAATTAACATAATATAACATCAATACGAACATTTCAGACAGTTTATTGGTCATAATGTATGTGATAGAACAACTCAAATTAAGAAAGTAGGTATTTTTAATTATTTATAAGTTTTTGTTTTTATACAAAAGATAAAAAAAAAAAAAAATGAGTAGGCACTTATTTATTACTCGACTGCCGAAGAAAAAAAATAAAAGATGACGAAATAAGCAGTCGTGGACTTTGATGTCTATGGCTGTAAGTTTTAATTCAAGAACAGATGTTACTGATCAGACTACGACTGCTTTTTCCGTCATGTTTCATAGTTTCTATCTTATTTAATACTTCCATTTCAAATTATTTTTACCTATTTATTTTTTTTTCGAAGGGGTTTTTTATGTATTTCTCCACAGCATTCGATATAAATGATAACTGGTTAAAAAATTGTTTTAATACTCAATTCAATTTTTTTATTTATAGCCACAAAATTAAACTATCATCTGTCTAGTTAGTTTCACGTCGTTAAGTGGTTTTTGAATATTAGATGTCTGAAATATGTCGTTAATAATAAAAAAATTGAAGTGTCATCACCCAATATTAGTGCGATCTATATGAGAGAAGTAGTCTAGAGAGGGTAGGTATGCAATTCACAAATGAAACGCATTATGCGACAAAGTTATTGTATTGAATACCATCTTTTTTCTATAGATTCAATATAAGTGAAATTATGAATATATTTTATGATACAAATATTATGTTGTAAAATTAATTATTTATCGGCGGAAAGTTGACAGTTATTTTATGTGTTAGGTATAGTTATGCGATTTGTGTTATTCCGTTAAGGTATACACAAATACCTTTTTATAAATACAAATTTAATTTTACATAAATAAAATATTATTGAACATTTATAAATGTCATTGTTATAAACATTATTGAGTATCTAATATCAAAGCGAATCAACAAATTTTAAGAATGATAATAAGAAAAAAAACAAATTATTCAGAGATAATGTAATAGATAACTGATAAAAATATTCTTTTCTTATGTTTTTAATAAAATAAAATATAATTTAACTCCTTTTACTATCAAATAATATTTTACTATTTAGGTATAGGTATAATTGTAAAATATAATACGATCAATATTATTATTTGCATTATCGAAATCAAAATGTCCAGTAAAAAATATTTATCCGATGAAGTACCATGTGATTTTATTTGTATATAATATATTATATATTTTTTGTTAACAAACATTCGTATTGCATTCGTATTATATAGGTGTTTTACAGCCAGACAATTCTGAACAAGTGATCTTGGAACCAAAACTGATTGCTAGGAATTACTTGAGATCCTGGTTCTTCTTGGATTTAATCAGTTCCCTTCCCTTGGATTACCTATTTCTTATGATCAATCAGGTATGTACCCGCTATGTTACTTATATTTCATAGCTATACGAATAATTATTATCACGATCGAGTTAATTGATTTTTACGTTTTACATTATACAGGACGTGGGCGATGGCATCCAAGGTATTCAGATTTTACACGCAGGCCGAGCGCTGCGTATCCTTAGACTCGCCAAGCTGCTCAGTTTGGTCCGATTACTCAGATTGTCCAGACTGGTGCGCTATGTGAATCAATGGGAAGAAGTTTACGTGAGTGACGGTTTATGCGAAATAATTTTTTATTCATTTTTTTCATCAAAAGGCAAAAAATTGAATGTTCATTTACGGAATATATTATTTATGTGTACGCAAGATGACCTTGCTCGATTAATATTCATAATATGAATTTATATATACATAATATTTGAATAATAATTAAAGGGTGAGGAGGGGGGGAATCAAAGAACGCCCGTTGTTTGATGCCTAGATGGTCGCAATTAAGTCATGTTGTTTATTATTATGTCACGTCGGTCATTTTTATAGGACGGTGTTATTATCGAGTTCTTTATGAAACTCGAGAGAAAAATATAATAATAAAAATTAATTGTTGTGCTCTGTCAATTGGTATGCATGGGATGGCATGGATCTATCGCGATAGAACTTTTTTTTTTTAATAATAATTTATGTTGAAAACGGTTTGTCTGTTATTTGTGTACTTTTTTAATTATGTTATTATAATTTCTGCATACTAATGATATCGCGAATACAAATAATAATAATGTACTCGTATAATAGTGCATGATTTTCACATTTTTCATGATTTAAACGTTGTATTGATGAAATAATAATTGTATTGTGATAATATCCGTGAAAAAAAAAAATGATCAGAAATTGAAATTGAAATAATTATTGATTATTCGTAAATTGTCTACTTATACATAATAATGTAGACGACGACGAGCAGGCGAGAATGATGGCCTATATAAGAGAAATAAATTGATCGGAGAACTTTCTATCGCGCGATATATTTTTATAAATATTATACGATTTCCCTGAGTACTTCAAAAATTAAATATTCTAACTATATTATTCTAATAGCAGTTGACGGACTATTGATTTTTCAAACTCGCCCGTTGTTCTCCGTTTGTTTGTCTTGTACAATTTTTTGCTTAAACATTTATTTTTTTAATTTTTATGGTGTACCCTCGAAATATTCCGTACATGAAAATGTTTCGCTGTCAAAACATTCCCCTTCAAAATAGCCTCGTTAGAAATATCATTTATTTAAAATATCCTATGGACAAAATATCATAGTTAGAAATATTCCGTAATATTCCTAATACAAAGTCAGTCGAGCTTATAAACGTAAATTTAAAATCTTGTGTCTTATTTTTTATTTCCCTCCAAATGCATTTAGGAGTTGATGTGTCATAAATTAAATAGAGATATTTTAAATAAGGGATGTTTCTAAAAAGGACATTTTGAAAGGAACAATTGTAATATTGTTCATTTTTACATTTTACTTATAGTTACGATATGAATTTCGAGGAGAATTTTTAAACCGCATATAAAAAAAAATTGAAAATACATAATAATAATACTTCTTAGTAATGCAATCTTTTTTGTGTACCTACAGTAGACAATTTTTTCTTAATATCCAACGAGTCGAGGAAAAAAAACCGTAATCGTTAATAGGTAGGTTTTTTTTAGATTAATATATTCATACCTTTTTGTATATTATAATATTTTTTTACCACACTTTTTAAATATATTTCTATTATTTTTTTTAATAAACGTGGTCATGATTACAATCAGATAACAATGATTTATAACTGTAGTTTACGTTTAAAAAATATGACATTATTATTATTATATTTTAATATCTTCTGAGAACAATTTAATACAACTCTACCATAACCGTATTTCTTCATATTATTATGATTTCTATAGCTGATCATAACTAAATAAGGAAAATATTTTATTTTATTTTAGGTTAGATATAATCATATAGTTATAAAATGATAATTATAACAGCCAACCGGAAAATAATAAACATACGATATTGTAAACATATATCAAGTCGTTAGAATAATATCCAAGCGTTTTCAGGACCGTAATTGTATAGGTTTTTTTAAGGTACTATTAATGAAAAAAATAAATATAAACGAATCAAGTATTGAATATTATATATTTTTAAATATTAATAAAACGATTCGGTACTAACATTAAACGTCGTAATTTTTGTAACTCGAGGTTTTGGTTTTTGTTTGCAAGTACTTATTAAGCACGGTGCATATTATATTTATTAAATACCGTTCAATATAAAATGATAACGTTTCGCAATAAAAAAGTAAAAGTTGTTTTAAAACTGAAAATTTAAAATAATTTACTGTATATTATAAGCAGCATATAGATATAAATAACAAAGTATTATAATTCATTTAATATTCATTTAATAACGCGGATGGTATCGATCCGTTTGATCGTATGATTAAATCTTAGTTTTGCCAGACTAATTATTGAACTAGATAACCATCATTAATAGAAATATATTATGTGAAACCGGGCAATTTTAATACCAAGAGGGCAAATTGTATTGATAAACCACTGAAATATTTGTTCATCCCATGAATTGTTTTAAATTCTGAGCCGAGCAAAGAAGCTTATAGTTTTACAAAGATTTTTTTTTTTTTATCTGTGCGTAACTTTTCTACCAGAAGACTTGCTCAGATTTCTACGTGTAGCGCCTTTTCTGAAAAAAAATTGGCGTGGAAAGGTACTTTAAGGAACTCATTTTTTGATTTTCTCAGGAGTTTTCTCATTAAATTTGAAAAACCGAAAAAAAAAAAATGGGAAAGTATAAGAAATATGGGTATTAGTTCAAATATATTACGGCCTTTTTTTTTTTCTGGCCACACATTTTTTGCCAGTATTTTTGCTTCAACTTTAAATAATAGGAATGTTTCTAAAAATAAATTTCACTAGGGAGGTACTTTAAAGAGTTCATTTTTTGATTTTCCCTAGAGTTTTTCCAGAAAACGTAGGGAAACTGGGAAAATTGGTACAACATTAAACAAATTTTATTAAAGAAAATACATAAAGCCTGTTTAATTATTTTACTACAAAATATCATGTATATATTGTTAACAAAACATCATTATCAACTGAACTCCGCTCAGAATTGTTTTTTCTTAAGCAATGATTGATCGTTGCTTACATATAAATATTAAATTCCTGTCTACATCCTACCTTCCCAACTTTTCATCTACACAAGTGGCTGCATCCGTCCTCATTATCTTATCTTTTTTTATTATTTTTTTAATATTTTATTATTATTATAAATTGTTAACACATGTGATTACATGTCACGTTTTTAAAATAATTGCTTCTATCAAGTCTACCTTGGTTTCACTCCTTATCAAAACACTTATTATTTTGGAAAGTATACATTTTTTTTCGGAATTTTAATTTTAGACAATTAAAGAAACAATTAGCTCTAAAATTTTATATTTCCGTAATTTTTATTACCTTTAACTGCTACCCAGTTTTGATTTTAAATAGCTACCTATAATATTTAAAATACCAAAAATAGATGAAGTTTTAGTTTAAAAACTTTTTTGGTGTTGAAACATTTAATTTCCGTTAACTTGTTGACGCGATATTCTATTTTTAAGTTTTAATAGAGAGAGAGTATTGGGGCACTATTCAAAGGTTGCATATTTCGCCACTGTACACTCATATTCCTCTAACTGACCTTTCTCTCCTTTTACCAAAACTAAAATGTTTGGACTTTTTTTTTTTAAGATATATCATTAGCCAATAAGATTAGTCAACAGTTATAGTTAATCATTAGCAATGGTTAATCGTTGCGTGCAGATATACATTAAATTTCCCCTATACTACTTTTTCAAATTCTTACCTACAATAGTGATTGCACCCGTCTCCATTATCCTAGGACAGCTTTTTTAAAAACATTTTTGAAATAATTGGTCGAAAACCGAGTATTTTGCCATAAGTGTTCTCCAAAGGAAATTAATACTTAATGAAGTATTTTTTATAAAATTTGTTTGTGTATATATTTCACTCAGACTTATTTTTTTTTTTTTATATATAGTGATATTAATATTGTACTTGCAGTGGAGTTTGGTTAATATATTTTTGTCTTGTATTTAAAATTTAAAATTAATATTCTATTATAATAATTAAAAAAAAAAAACCAATAATATTCATTTTTCAATGTGTTTTTTGCTGAAATGTTTTTATGCTCCAAAAACTTCTAAATCATACACAATTCTGTTTTCTTTGCATTTGTTTATTTCTTATTCACAGTATTACTACTTTTTTTAAAAATATAAAACACGGCTATACCTAAGGGCTAAGACCTTTTGTATTCCAGTATTTTTGGTATGCCTCTGGAGTCTAAGTCTGTATTGTGTTGTTATTTTAAACATGAAGACGACAGTAATAATTATCGCATACAAAAAAAAAAGTTAAAAGGAAAAAAAACAATCTATTTTGAGTGGCGCTTAGTATTAAAATACTATAATGCTCACTTGTAATATTTATTATTTGTCACTGTTTTTTCAGCATTTCACTTTTAACTCAGAAATTCTTATAGGTACATAGATTTCTTTACGTACCTATTTTTACTATCTTTGTTTAAATATATCTAGCCTAACTACGGGGCTGTGGAACAAAACTTTTCGAACATGTTTAGACGACCCAAAAAAATATTTCTCCCGAAAAAAATTTGTTATAAAAATCTACTACTTGATTTTACGTGTGTATTGCATGATTATCATCTTTCGATCGTTATAATAATGAATTATGATTATTCTTATGTTTAGCCTATATGTTAATTTTAATTATAACCAGTTGCATGATCGTTGTGTGAGTCAATATATTTAATATACAAATTAAAACTGTGTGAAATATTAATACAAAATATAATTTAAGACTTTTTTCTTCAAAGGCCTATAATATATTAAATTATTTTAATTTTAAAAGTGTGTAACACTGTATTTTAATTTTTAAGGATTCGGTTTTTGAATTTTGCATTATATCAGATGGAAGAGTTGTAAAATCGTATTAAAAATAGCTTCCGAAATAGTTGATGGTACCAAAATAGTAGTTTTCCATTTAAATATTATTATCATATAATTTTTGAGTTATATATATCCAAATCTTTAAAAAAATGTCCGATTGTTCCTTTTACGCGACGAATTGAGTTTTGGTTTAATTTCGTGTTAAACACATAGTACATATTATATTGCGTATAATGGTTTTAAACTTAAATTTGTAGGTATATGAATGCCATAATCGATGTATCGACATAAGCATTTAAATTAATTTTCAAGTTGTGATGTCTATAGATACAGTCAGAGTAATATAGGAAACTATATCGAGGGATAGACCTTAAACCATTAAATATTAAAACAGTATTCACGAAACAAATTATAGTTGATGGATGTTCAGTTCGTAAGTTGAATTCGATAATTTATTACGCAAGTTCTCCGATGAATTTTAAAAGCTTGAGTATACTGTGTAGTATAAGTATATAGTATACGCACGTGGCATATTCACGGGAACGTGTCTGTGAATGTTTTTTCAACAATTCTTTACATGTTAAAACACTATAATATAATGTTGTAGGGCCCATTTTTTCGGATGTTAAAGGAGAATAATATAGTTTCGGAAATGTTTACTTGCTCTGACAATAGATATGATTACGGGTATGCATAAAAAATTCGATGAAATGCCGTAGTAAAATGTCGACTGGAATTATGACCAATAATCATATAATTCGATTTTATATTATATTTATTAGGCTATAAATATTAAATAATACGATTTCGGCGTAGTGTTGCGTTTTCAACAAAACTTTTGTTTTCGCCAACTTATTGGTTTGCATTCGATATTATTTAACTATTTATAAACCGACATTTTCAGAAAAGTATATGCTTTTATTTAAATAATGTACGATAGTTAGCTGAAACATACAAAAAACCAGCGATAATTTGAAAAGAAAAGAAAAATAACATTTAAACGTTTAGAAAGGGAAAATGAAAAATGAAAATATTGTTTATAACTGTTTATAGGAAATTTGGATAAAGAATTCTGTCTTCTGTTTCTACCGAAAAAAAAATGAAATTAAATAAATTATTAATTTAAATATTATTTGTTGAAAAAGCCCATAATAATATTATTAATAATAATAATAATAATAATAATAATATTAAATTATCGTCTGACGATGATTAAAAAATTAGCATGAAAGCTTTTATGACATTATATCTAACCAAGTGACTCGCGAGAGTTCGTCATGTTTGTTTTGTATGTTTTTTTGCAGCACGAATTTTAACATGCCGGGTTGTTTCCGTTGATTGTTTTTTTTGTAGATATTAAGACTACGAGCGAATGTGCCGTCGGGTCAACAAGGTCACACCGAAAGCCGAGCCATGATCAAGGTAATGATGTCCGCAGAGGTTTTTTTTCTTCTTTTTTTCTTTTCTTTTTTTTTATTTATTTTTTATTTTTTGTGATAATTTATATCTTCCAATCTATGCGTCACTTTATTCTCAACTTAAAAATCTGAAATTCTGAACACGTTTTTATTACCTACCTACGTATATATATATATATATACGTAAACCTAGTGAAAGAGGAATTTTCGTTCAGAGCTTGGTATATACGCACGCACACACACACACACACACATATACAACAATATACCTATCCAGTATACCCGTCAAAGGGGCAAAATGTGATTTGTCGACGATTTATTAAACGCGTGTGTTTTTCTTTCTGTGAGTGCGCGCGTGAGTGGAAAACATGCGACATGAATTTCAAAAACCAACCAGGACGGGTCATTTTTTTTGCACACACACACACACTCACACACACACACATCCATCCCATATTCGCATTCGGCTTCGACACATTCATTTAAAACCACATGGTATTGTTTTACTAATACGTTACGCCATAGGCGGAAATTGTTCATAATCTTAGAGGAGGGGTTGGTATTTTAAAATATCCCATTGCGTACCTATCAAAACTGGTCTCTACGCTCACAAAAATCATCTTACCTCAAACATCATGAATAACCTATGCGTGTAATTTATTATAGACATTCTACACCGGCCATGCCATACATATACGTTATATATACCCCCCCCCCCATCGATTTCCGCCTATGCGTTACAGGCGTATTATACACACATTCTGAAATCGTAACAATTTTATCATAATAATGTAATAATATATAATATAATGATTGTTATTGTCGTCGTGATTAACGGTATACGGGGTGGTATAGCATATTGCATACGGACTAAACGATAATGCGCGCGGTTTTGTGCATTTTACAGCGTTCATATTGCTCACCTGCAGCGGGCCGACCTTTTGACCGAATAATTATTTACGGTATGACGATCTGCATTTTTGCTACCTGTATTATAAAATTATAGTTTGATAATAATCGTGTGGTACTAAAATAACGCCTTTTATCTAACAAACACGCCAGCCCGTAACATTTGTTAACATAATATAATAAAAATATTGTTCGTCGGATTTAATCAACGCGTTTTTTTGTCTCCCGTGAACAATATTGAAATTTTTTTAATCTTGACACAACGTTTAATTTTTTTTTTTTTAATCAATGTACGTAATATGTTTTCACTATGTGTTTAAACCGCAATATTGTCTACGTTACGCTTGTATCGGTTCGTGTTTACCGTCGTATATTGAATGTTTTTATTTTATTGATTTTGCAAAAATAACGCTAAGGGGTTAAATATTTTAATTTCAATAAAATGCATCCTTGTACATATTATATACATTATACATAACGCGCATGCATTGCAATAATATAAAAACAAAAGCAGAATTAATTACAGATTATACAGTTATTATTATTATTAATTTGTTATTGTGTGTGATGTTTCCTTTGTATTCCAAATATAGGTATAAAATATTTAAAATATCTACGAGTATATTGCAATTTGTATTAATTGTTGTTTATAAAATACAATAAATATTACTCTATACTTGCATATATTATATAGATATATTAGACTAAAAATTATAATATTTAGGTTGAGTTGTTGAAGTATGCACCACAGATAAATAAAACCACTAGATAACCGACATTATGACAGTAAATTTTCATTTTGCCAACCGACCATATACCAATAGAACACATTTTATTGATTAGACCGTGAAATATTTATGTATGTATATGCCATGCATTATGTGATCGTATGAAATCATTCATATTATTCATATTATTCATATTATTTCCAGTAACCTGTAGACAAGGTTTTAATTATTATGGTTAGGAGCGTCATGTAAGGGGGTGTTTGAGGGCTGCAGCTCCTCATGGTATCGATAAACTGGAGGTATAAGGAATATATGCCGGATAAAACTGTACATGAATATCTAAAATAGTGAACCTCATTTGACATTTTAAAAATCTGGCGATTACGGTTATGGTATTATTGAAAGGTATATTTGCCTTTAATATATTGAGTGACATCTTTTTCAAATAGTTTAAACGGGATATAATATTAAATATTAATATAATATTAAATTATTTCTTTGTTTTTGATAAATTCTTGCTTTTTGTTATACTTTTCTCTATGTTTTATTGGAACTAATTTCTGATTTGTTAGTATTTTTATAACGGTGAAAACCAATGGTTCTTAATTTTCCAGTCTAATATGTGGCTTGAAACCACTTAAAATAATATTGTCGGACGAAATCGAAATTCTCAATTTTTCATTTGGTACGCAATCGGATGCATACCTGCTAAAACCGGACGCAATCAAAACTTGAGATGTGTTACAAAGATCAAAACGGGACGCAATCAGACGACGCTTATTCCAGAGACTCGTGTGTCCACGCCACGTGCTTTTTGTCGTATTCTGATCTGTTATAATCTTGGTAACATTTGGTAACCTATACCTATTGGGAAATTTCTAGAGTTAGACTAAATTCATCTTTTCTCTCATTTGGGTTACACCGGTCGGTCAATATTTTAGTGTTATCAATATAACAAGTCTATAATATCGCCTTACTGTATAGATCTGTGCCTCTGTCATACTATCGGTTATTATGTCGTTTTACATGTCTATGGTGTACAAATGGTTTGAGTGAATATTGTATTATCTGATAACAGCTGTTATGAATTTAAAAAAAATGTATAAATTTACTTTACAGATTACTTTTAAGAATATAAATCATGCATGTTATCATAATATGTTTATGAATACTTTAAATTAATATCAATGTGAAATATTTTTCACGGTAAACTTTAAGTCGATATCGGTATAGCCCAAAACGCGAGGAACTTTTGTTTTATTTAATTGTTCATAAAAAAAAAAAAAAAAACAAATGAACTTGTTATTTTGCAAACAAAGTCATAATATTAAATTCTTTACATAAGTAAAGTTAGTATTATAGGTTAAAGACCTTAAAACTTTCTAAGCAAAATAATTTAATAAACTTTGGACTTCCAAATGTATGACAATGACAATGAATTTTATGTATATAAAAACTTTGCTCGTAATTATATTTTCCAAAAACGCTGTTTTATGGTAATTTTTTTTTTATTCGTTATTATTATCATTATTTTCACGCAGTTATTTCATCTTGATAATAATAATAATAATAATAATATTTTCAAGTGTGGGAATTAAATTCATCACATTAAATGGACTGTAAACAATTTATAAGAGGTAGAAATCCTTACAGGAAGCCATGGTGGCGAAATGCAGTCAATGCATATACTTTTTACCTAGCCATTTCTGTATTAAACCTTAATAACCGCTATTAAACAGTCATTCGAAAAAGCGGAAATTGAATTTAAATCTTTAATACTTACTTTTATATATATATTATGACTTTTATTTTGTTGTATTGAAAAATCGTGTAAATACCTACATATCTATTAATTTATTATACAATATATATTGTAAAGACAAATTTAATTTTCTTGTTCTTAGTTCAAATACACGAGTAATTAAGTTAAAATAAAGTAAATATCATTAGAATATTTTTATGTAGTGTGTTTATGAAACGTAAAAAAAATATTTATATTGTATACAGTTGTGGTAGTCTCACTGGTAGTAAGTACGTAGTCGTGCTTATTGTGTATAATATATATTTTTTATGTTAAGGACATTGTTTTTAATTGGGAGCTATTTTTATTGAGTGCGTGTACAAGTTATCTTATTAAATTCAAAAGTTATTCTAATATATAAAATTGTGTAATAACTACACCGAATAAAACGAGCGGGTTTTGGCATTCTTAAAATTAAAATTAGGTAGACACTTTGCATTGTACAATGATTGTTGAAAATTCAATACTATTATAGTTTAAAAACGACAGTAAATCATTAATTAACAATACAATAAATTGTATAGTGTATCTAAGACTTTTTCCAGTTTTCTCTGACAGTACAATGATGATTATTTCGCTGCCATATTCCAATGTATTGTAATTTATATCAATGTCGTTCAATCGAAATCGTATTAGGAAACATAGTTAGCATACCTATACGTATTTATAAGTGCTCTCTGAAAAAATAAAACTTCATCTTTAGCTACTGTACCTATAGCTGACCTAAGATATTATAGTAAGGTCATTAGTTCATTCGTTTTCTTTCTTATATTTATTGGAACTCAAATGTGTATTTTTATTTTTAAATGAAAAACAAAAATATTTTGCAATTAATAATAACACGCGCACAATATTATTATTTATGTCGACCCAATGTTAAAAATTTAAATCAACAACGAGCTTGGTTTTAATGATGTCGATTAATCGTAATGAATATTGAACCGCGAAATAACAATTTACCGTCTGTTTAATATTTTACGACGAAACCCATATATAATAATATATACCTATATTATTAATTCACAACTGTCACGCGACATATTATTTTACAACGCCAATGTTGTGTAATATTAATTCGTTCAGTTCTAATGTTTTTTATTATAATATTATTATAGTTCCTGAATATGGCCAGTGTGTTTATGAGGATATTCAACTTGATATGCATGATGTTGCTCATCGGACATTGGTCCGGATGCCTACAATTCCTAGTCCCTAATCTACAAGGATTTCCACCCGATTCGTGGGTCGCTATTAACGAGTTACAGGTAATATAAAAATCTTATATTATAACGAAATGTTAAATCAAAAACCCGCGTTTGTAACCATGCACAGTTATTCGCCAGATAAACTCATTCAACAAATCAATTTGACCAAATAAAGTAGTATGTGTTTTTCAATTTAAAGTGCCGTTAATAGGTGGAAAACGCTATAAGATAACGCCTCCAATTTAAAATTCGATCTTAATCTGTTTGATTGTAAATACAAGTATAAAGCTCTAATACTAACGATTTATTATAGAACTGTATTGTTGGAAAATATTAATACAATATATAATACAAATTTAATCTTATTTAAATTTATAAAAAGCAATGTACGTATATGGTTTTGGTTTATATACTTAAAAATTCCTTTTTATTTGATTACACCTTTTTTAAATAAAAAAACCTGATCATAGCAGACGGTTAAGGTGCAATTAAAAAAAAAAATTTAATATAATAATTAAAATTTTTTTCATCTTGTTGGCATCTTTGTAATTATTGCGATTTTGCATAGTCATATATTTTATACTTCAAAATTAGCTGTGTCAGTTATAAGCAATGTCATAATAATATTATTTTCATAATCATTGTATTGTATTTCCTGTTTAAAATTTATTTTAATGGATATTACCGTCATTCGTACCTTGACTGGTTTGAATCTACGATGAGACGATTGAAAATTAATTTTAATCACTATGTTTGAAATGCCACACGGATATGCCAAGAAAGCATATTATCTATAACCAAATTTTATAAAATACGGTTTTAATATCACGTAGGGCTCATTTCCTAATACTGCCAAAAGTCTTCCTTAAAAAATGACACGATAAGCATAGAAACATTTTCAATTTAAAAAATTATAAACCAACATTAGACAAGACACCAGCAGATATACATGTCACAATTTATGGACATTTTTTTGATGTATACATTATTGGCTGTTTTGATTTTTAGCTTTCTTTTTTTTTTTAAAATATAAATTGCTTCCTTGTGGTCTTAAACTTACCCAAAATAAATTTGAGCCGAAAAAAATTGACTTTTGAATCAAGTAAAATTACACTTGATTCCAAGTGAACCTTATGTATTCTTTTGTAATCTTTAAGAAAAAACTATGTAAAACCTCGAACTTTCGAACTTAATGAGTAAATATGATTTAATTGAAAATATCATTTCTACTTTTTTATTTTATTTAAATAGAAAAACTTATTATGCTATTAGTAAGTTCTAAAACTTATTTTTTTGAGCTCAATTATTTTTTTTTGGTAAGTTTGAGACCACAAGGAAGCAGCTTCCAGTCTTAATTCGAAAAATAAAAGTTAAAATCAAAACAACCTAGTATAAATGTATAAAACTGTACACATATTATAGTATCTAAGAAGACAGAACTATATATTTTTACACACATATGTCTACTTTTTAATTTTTTAACACGACATGTGTGTACCTGTGTATAGATGTCCGAATCCGCGGTAATAACAGTACTATTGTCATTTAATGCTACCCAACTTGGGCTCTAATACACGTTAAAATAATTGCACATGGTTTTAATGACAATTTATATTTTCAAGTTTAAACTGTCTTGATGTAGTTTAATTTTCTACACATTTGTATGCATCAAACGAATGCGTGAAATATTGAACCAAAGACGGTTTATTATTTATTAATCGTTTACAATTTAGAATATAGGAGTAATGCTGGTTAACTAATACATTATTCCCCAGCTGTAACTTTTCACCTATTATAATATGCCGGCTTATAGTTCCTTCAAAAATGGCTAAATAAAACGTACCTATAAAAACCTGAATGACAAAATGGCTGGTTCGTGATTAAAAAGAAGTCGCTATTGTTAAAAAAAAAAAGTATAGAAATCAGTAACATGACATTATTCCATCTAAATTAAACATTTAATTGAAAAATAAAAATATTTAGATATTTTTTTTTAATTTTTAAAATTTTTTTTATCTGTTTACAATGGATAAACCCATAAACCCATATCGTAGAATGCCATACCTTGTCCCTGGTTTGTATAGTCGTATCTAGTATTATTATTACTTTAAGATTTTGAGTGGAGCGAGGAGGAATGTATTGATTTTACAACAATATTTAATTTAAATTTATTTTTCTGTGGAAAACTTTTCTACTAGCTAGTTTGTTTTTATTTACAATTATACTGGGAAGGTATTTTAAGGAGGTAATCTTGATTTTCCTAGGAGTTTTCCCAATAAATTGGAAAACCATGGTAAAAATGGTAAAATATTAAACAAATATTATTAAAGAAAATATATAATGTATCTTTTTTTTTTTTTTTTTTAGTTAATTTTAAGATGTACTAAAACTGTGCAAATCGTTGGTTTTAATAATTTTGTATTTGTATATTTAACACCGATAGTGTTGAACTAAAAAAAAAATACAAAAATACAAAAATATTGATTTGAAAAATTAAGTTTTACGTCTGTGCGTACAAATATAATTACGTGTTATAACCGTGAATGTACATAGGTATACTTAGGTACGGTTTTTAAACTAAACGTGATGTAAATAAAGCCAGACCACCAATGACTATATGTAAGCTGTATATATATATATATATCAAAAGAAAAGTCGAGTTTTATAATAAAAAGATATTTCTGTAATTTATATTTTTGTTCAGCTACTACGACACTCTTAGACATAGTTTAGTATTTGTTTACTTTTTCAACAGCCTCGCCCAAAGAACGTGGAATACCATTAAAAATAATGTTTTACTACACAACGTATGACTTTATTTACTCCTCGAGTAAAACAGTGATATTATTATGCAGATATTTTCAAACATATTATAGTGACTTGTAAGGTATACGCGATGTATTCGTGTCACTACATACGATGTATAGTATAATATATTGGTACATCGGTGCGTGTAGCATCGTAAATTTAAACGTTTCCGAAAATTTAAAACGCTACACATAAATAAAATGCGGCTTTAGCGTGTTGGATTTACATAGGAAATTTAAAGATTTGGCGGTACCATAAGAAAACCTCCGTGATCGAAATCGACGCATAGTATTAATAATCGATCGGAAACGATAATGTCGCCAATAATTTAAATTTTATCTTTATTCCTGTTCGTATATATATATATATATATATATATATACACGAGTAGGTACCTACGTACGTATATGGATTACTCTCTGTAAGCCACGAGATAAAACTCTCTGGAAACTTGTATAATATACCTACTTATAATAATGTATACGGGCATAAAATATTATAAACTCGTCATCTTTTTAAAATTTCGGCTTTAGAGTTTTATTTTTTCAATTGTTGCTAGATTACATTTATTCGAACGAAACCCCGCTAGTGCTGCAGCACGTTGAATAATGTTATTTTCGTTTATTTTTTATTATTAAAATATTATAGGTATAGGTATGAATCGCGCTTGACTGATTAAAAAAGGTAAAACTGTAAAATATATACACGTTTTGAATTAATTAAAAAACTTTTGTACCGACTGTAGATTATGTTTAAACTATATATATATATATATGTATATACACGCGTCGGGGTATAACAAAAACTCCTCTTATAGTTTTCAAGGCGCGTATTATTTTACTGCACGATCGTGTTATTACAATATTATGTTGTACAAAGTGTGAAACCGAATTCGATTGTAACTTTTAACGATGTTTATGTATATGTATACAGGATGCCAACTGGGCAGAAAAATACTCGTGGTCACTGTTCAAAGCAATGTCGCATATGTTGTGCATCGGATACGGTCGGTTCCCTCCGCAGTCGTTGACTGACATGTGGCTGACCATGTTATCGATGATTAGCGGAGCTACGTGCTACGCTCTGTTCTTGGGACACGCCACAAATCTGATACAGAGTTTGGATTCGTCTCGGCGGCAGTACCGCGAAAAGGTATTGTCATAGTGGTAATATGGGAGGGGTGGCAAAAGGAAACTGAGGAGGCGAGAGTGTCTTTTTGCCCCTCCTCCGTTGTAAATCGCGATAAAATTTATTTGAACATAATATAGAAAATTAAAAAAAAACACGTTTAATAGTATTATTTTTTCATCCATGAAAATAATAAATAATCAGATCGATAATGTCGTCCGATAATATTATCATGTATCTAAGATTAACCTAACCTAACTTAAAGATAACTTAATTCGTGTTTATGCTGGTTGTGGGCACATTGCCACGGCAATAATGTTTGTTTGTGGCTATAATCAAATCAATTGAATTTCAATAAATATTAATAATATATACCTATGATTGTTTAATATCACAATTATTAAAACGTTTTGAATTGCAAAATTATTAAAACTGTTAATCAAGTGTCAACATTATTTATTAATTTATGATTGTATTATATGTACGCTTTTTTTTGTTATTAACTGCCTATAAGTTTTCACCGTTTATATTTTTATACTTTTTGATTCGATATTTTAAGCTTGAGTACATTAACTAATAACTACAATATTGATTTCTAAACTGGGGGTAATACATCTGCGTGGGGTAAAGTTCCTTTCTATTTTGTTTATACCTAATAGATTTTAAGTTTTACCATAGACTGCCCTCTCAACAATTTATCTTAGATTATATCGCTGGGCATTATAATATTCGGATAGTACATAGTTGTTAGAAAATTAAATTGGGAAACTATAATCACGGCAGCCTTATGCAGCAACACCAACGTCGAAAAATGAAAAATAATCCGCCACGACCAAACCCACGAAAATCGGTGTCTTAAATGAAAACCTTTAGTCGTTGGAAAACCACGCCAAGTTTTTCTTTATATAGGAACGGGGAAATGGAAAATATTATGCCTGGTTGGTTATATACTGAAATGGAAAAATCGCGTTGCTGAGCGATGTTGAAAAATTCGAAAAATGAATCATAATACGAAGTTATGGTATTATATTTTGGGAGAGAACGGTTGGAAACGGTGAAATATTGCGCGTGGCCAGTGTCTAATTAACTGAAATATTGGCCAAGTGCACAATACTAGTTGGAACCCGTCTGTATATTTATATTAGAGACGAACGCGGAAAATTCGATGGGAAGGGTTGACGTTTACCACTAATATATATAAATCTAATTTGAGAATACTCTGTAAAAAAACGTCCTGTTATGTATTTTATATGTACCTTATGCTATTTATATATTTTTTTGTACTACTCAGTTGTTATACTTCACAGAAATATTAATTCTTCAATGGGGGAAAAAAATGGGGGCATATAGAATAATGTCTCGAGACCCTACACGTGAGCCCATATATTTTATGGACCACGTGCACAGACTGCACTTACGTTAATCTGGGCTTGGTCTAACCCCTTATAACTTTTCTTGACAACTGTAATTATCCGATTTTACTGGCGTACTTACTTTAATAGCTATAATTATTCGTTCATCGGGACGCATTATGTTATATTATTATTTATTATACTATCGGTTTACGGGGGTTTTTTTTTTATTAGGTTAAACAAGTGGAAGAATATATGTCCTACAGACGACTGCCGTTGGACATGCGCAAAAGAATAACCGAATATTTCGAACACAGGTATCAGGGAAAGTTTTTCGACGAAAAATGGATATTGGACGAAATGTCCGACAAGCTGCGTGAGGTGAGTGTTTCCGTATTTCACTGATAAGTCATGCACCTAATACTTGAGACGTAAATCAAATGGATTTTGAATTTAGGACGTTCGAAATTACACGTGCCGTAAATTAGTGACGAATTTGCCGCTTTTGCGAAACGCCGACAGCAATTTGCTCACCGAATTGATCGACTGCTTAGAGTTTGAGATGTTTCAACCAGGTAATTTTTTATGTTTTTTATTGTTGTTATTTTATCTCTTACAATTATTTTCAATAATATAATTGGAAATATTTGTTAGTTTTTTTTTTTTTTTTTGATTACGGTGCGTTTTAACGAGAAACGAACATTGACGGTCGAGAACGGGGATGAAGGACGCGAAGAAAAAAACAGCGTAATACTATATAGATGATGCAATGGTATATGCAAGATTTAACGATTTTCAAATAAGAAATTCTGCTCGGGACCGACTGATAGATAGACCGGCTAACCGCTTGTGGGGTAGATGCGGGTAGGGGTAAATAAAAAAAAAAAAAAAAATAAAATAAATAACGTACAAACATACGAGGAAAAAATACGTAACTATCTGTGCGAAAGGAATGCAAAATAATTCTGTTTGGAAACAGTACGCGCTTGTCACAAGAATTGAGATCTAAGGCACATATATAGTGGTTTTGTGAACGTGATGCGGGGTCGCTGTTGGGTATACTGCTGCTGCTGTAGGGGTAGTCCGATTGCGGTTGAACGATCGTGCAATTTAAAGATCTATGTCTGTTAAACGGCAACATTCGTTACGCCCTGACGTAAATACTGTAAACGGTTTTTTTGTTTTCTTTATTTGTTTTTCTTTATTTAAACCATACGGCCGACGAAAATCCCGCCGATTAATGGATATATAATAATGATTGCAATGTTGATGTTGCTATGAGGGATTGGGTAGTTTTATAATATTATCAAAAAAAAATTAGAAAATGTAACGTTGATATTTCTCATTATTATCATTAATAATCCTAAGAGATTATAGTTTATTGTAATATTTTATACTTCTTGTTGTAGTTAAATTCTTTTTTTCCTATAATGCGTTCTCATGATTTGGATTACATAATAATATACCCGGCTCTAGTTTTTTTCTGCTAAAATCTTATTGTTTTTTGTAAGGTTTTACTATTACTAACATTATGTCATTATCTCTTCTGGATTGAATAAATTTCCATAATTTACGTTTTTCCTTTATTCTGCAGTTTAAAACATCTCCGTCCATGACATTTGTAAAATTTGTTTGAAACACTAAATCTCAATTGTCACTAGTTTAATTGTTTAATTATAATCTAAAATTGTCCAGGTTTTGCAGTCAAACAATTCCATATTCACTGCCTTTAAAAATGTCTTCCTTACAAGCAGCCCGAAACTATAACTAATAAAGATTAGATGGATTTTATTTTGCAAGGTCCTTTTTTTTGCGATCGTCCTCTGTTATACAGGATAACCAATATACTATTAGACTCTCATTATCTCGGAAAGTATTCACTTTTTTTGGCAATTTAAAAAACAAGCAACTCTAAAATGTAACATAACTATTAATTTTGTCACTTTTTTTGAGTGGGGTGGGAAAGGGCGTGAGACGACTACTTATTTTTGATTTTCAAATGGCAAACTATATTCAAAAATCTATAAATAGATGTGATATTAGTTAAAATACATTTTAGTGTTGAAATTTTTGATTTCTGTCTAGCCGTTGCCGAGATATTTCACTTTTGATTTTAGGTTGGGGAAGAGTAGTGGAGTATAATTTTGTGTGACTAGTTTCTAAATGGATGTTTGAAACATTGCACTTGTTCTATCTGCTTGTTACTCAAACTAATGCGAATATCCTCAGTAATGCGTAAATAAAAACACGTGTAATCCTAGAAAATATCCATTTAGAAAACACTAAACACCGCCAAAACAATTAATGTTGAGTTTGATAAGATTAGGCAGTGATTAAAATTGTTATTACATTACGCGTTATTCGTGTACCTAATTATAATATTTAAAATCACACTGTAACATCATTTTACTGTGGCCATTGTAATTCGATACAAAATATAATACCGTAATATTGAAACAAAATAGGGAATAATTTTCTTTCGATTTTATCCGAAATCGAAAACGTTTCGATAAAATAATGTTATTATTATTAATTGACACTTTTGATCGTCTAGTTGAGCACTCAAGCTCATAATAAAATAATAATATACAATACGTATTTTTGTACAGTATTCGCAAATATTGTTACGTAAATTGAATAGACATAAATCATTATTATGTTACACAATGCTTTACGTATGTAAAAAATATACGGAATTCGAGGGAAATACGTAATATAGTGATTTAATATTTAATAATGATTGAACACGGCGGAATAATATTATCCATCGATAATTACTATTTGCCGTTCAACATAGCTGATTCAAGTAAACAATTTAAACTAATATGTATTTTGTATATTATCGCATACAGAATAAAATATAATGTATACGGACAATTTGGGATATCTGCTTTGTTACTTCAGAGACTATTGTTGACTCGTATACAGAGTTTCCAGATTATAATAATAGTGTGTATTATTTGACATTTAGCCATGCAACAGTATTATGACGTTTTACGTATTGTACCGAATACTAATTATCGTTACATGTATAATAAACGTTTAATAAAATAATAAAGTAAAACAAAAATATTAAAATGATTAATGTTCGTAAATAAACAAAGTCAAGAAATATGTAAATAAAAAAAATGTATATATAAAAATAAAAAATAAATGAATGAATGAATGCGTTGCCAAGAGTATTATGGTAAGTGTATTATACGACCGGTTTCGAATTAAAAATTCATCATCAGGTATATCACAGTCGAAATGTAAAACGTAACTGAATGTAAAAAATTAAATGAAGGGATACATAAGGAAAAAGATTACACAAATTGGTCGTTTTACATAGAAATAATTTATTTTAATAGGAGAGACTATTTAAAATGGGTTGTTATTAAACATTGATATGTTACGAAATATAAATTATTATCTCATTATTTATTATCCAAAATGTATTGATATAAGACGTTTTTTTAAAAATCGGTATGTACATTTAAAACATTATTAAAATTATTTTTCTTTATTTCATTGTATATATGTAATTCTTCTAAAACTGAATTAATGTTAATGTTATTTTGTGTATTCAATATCTCTAAGTCTTTATTAGTATCAAAACTTATATTATAGTTATTTTCTAAAACATGTTAAACGAAATTTGAATTAAGGGCAGTCTTTTTTAATTTTATTTCAGAAATGTGTTCTTTGTATCTTATTTTAAAATTTCCATTCGTCTTACCTGTATACAATTTGTTACAGTTACATTTAAATTTTTACACACCAGCATTTTCAAAATAAGGGAGATTTTTTGAGAAGTTTTTAGTTTTATTGTTTATATGTTTGATTAAATTATTATTAGTCTTAAAAGCGATTTTTACATTATTTGTATTATTGTTCAGAATTTTAGCGAATTTGTTAGACATATTATTTTGATATTTTATACTACAATAATTAACAATGATTTTTATTATTATACATGAATTGTTTATTTACATATTTATTTATTATATTCATCAATATTTTCTCAACAAATTACGCAGTTTTTCATAAAAAAAAAAAAAAAAAAAAAAAAGTAATAAATTTCGTCTCAATAATATTATTAGTAAGTATGAAAATATAGTGTATTATAGCGTAATTATAATTTGTCATTGATTAGATTTAAGCCTAAACCACGCTATGTCTGAGTATGCAAATTATTAGTAGGTTTCTTACTATATGCTACCTAATATTGAACATTAATGGCTCATTAATGTTTAGAACTTTAAGAGTATTAAAATGGAATGTTGTGTTTAAAAACGTTATTATCGAGTTTTATCTGGATTATAATTCCTTTAAAAAAAAATATATATATATATATACATGAATAAGGTAATATAATAAATCTAAAAATGTAACCTATAATACTCGACACTTCATGTCGCACGGACGAAAATAATTACATTTTATCCATTCAATGATATATGTACAACATATATATATATATTATTTTTAAAACATTCACTGATTTATATACTTACCTTATGTATAATATATTATTTTAGTTTTCGTTCTACCGTGAAATTTATGTTTCTTAATCAATATTGTTCCGTATAGATTTCCGGGGATATATTCTATCATTCGATAAAAAATGTGTGAAGTTGTTCGATTTAGAAAAAAAAAAAAAATAGGTATTCCGCGATATATATCACGAGGACAAGCTTAAAAATAAAGCCACCTTGGGATTCGATTCCTTTTCTTCTTTAAACGATAACGTTTATCGTTCAGGCCATCAATATTCTTCTTTGACAAGTATAAAAGACTACATTTTTTATGCCTTGTAAACAAAAAGTCTATTTTGGATTTTTAAATGAATGGTTTTTGTGAAAAACGTTGGTGGTATTTTTATATTATTATTGTTAAGCGTGTACATTATACAATTCTTAAACTTTTTAAATTAAAAAAAAATATATTTATTAAAGTGTAGACGTTATTTTAAAAACGAAAATATATTATAACAGGATTAATAATAAGCACATTGGCTAGGGTTGAAATATAGACGAGTATTTAATTCATTACCAATAATATACGCCCGAGTGTTTTGTTTTTTTTTTTTTTTTTGTATCACAAAAATATTGTTAACAAACTCGGAATATAATAAAATACCTACTTAATAAGCACTTATATTCGAGAATGTTTTTTTTTGTTTATTACCACAATTGCATTTAGGTACTGTTACTACGTAATGTTATAGCGTTCGGACGACAAATGAGATTCGATATTATTCGAGTATTTTCGACGATTCCGGTTTTGATAATATGATTTTTAACACGACAAGTCGATAAACTGTATACGATTGAAAACAATATAGCAATTGCTTCAATTCCGGCCGGTTCGGCGCCAACGTCAGACAGTACAGTGTTTCTGCGCCGAACAAAATGACCGAACGCGATTGTAGTGTTTATTGGGACAAAAACGGATTTCCGAACGGTCCGGGTTACCGTATGGTGGTCGAATACTGTCCGCGTGTTCCGCGTCTCTCTAAACGAACGTCCCGGGCCTTCGGCCGGCAATGACGATGGGGTGTAATAACGACGCGCAGTGTAAACGGCGACGATGACGATATGACGTATCGAACGCAGTAAATCACGCGGGTCCGACGGCATTGTAACGAGTATGGATGGTTTTGAGAACGGTTGTCCGAAAAGGACGCGCGCGCGTTTGCCCGAAAACGTACACGACCGAGACGAGAACCCCCCCCCCCCTGGAACAACGAACCCGTTTGACATTTAAACAGGCGAATTCTCCCGGGGAAAAACCCACGTACCCAGCCTAATCTCACGTAATATATATACACGGCGTGATGCGACCGTTCGCCGTTCGCCGTGACGGCGGTCAGCTGCGTTCGGCTGTATATTTTCATTGCTCGTGTAATATATCGACGTCCCGCGTCCCCCGTACGCCGTCACCGTGTTTGCCCGTCGGCCCGAGTCGACGGGGACGCCGCCGACCCAAGACCGAAATGCACGTCAAAGTCGCGTTCTCCCGACTTCAAACGAAAGTCCGTACGTGCTTCGAGAGTTGAACAGCGGCAATAATACCCGTGTATGGGTGCGTATACATTGTACCGATGAGGAGGGCGAGCCGATTACAGTGTAAATTCGTGTGTGTGTGTGTGTGTGTGTGTGGCTGAAATGTCGCCAACGTATATGTATGTATATATTTGCAAATTTATTAATTAACAACCGTTATAAATTTAAAAAAAAAACCCCTATACATTTTGGCGTTAAATTTTTCCGGAATTTGTTTTCTAGAATATTTAAGAAACAAGCTGCTCTACGATCGATGTTCCTTTTTTTTTGGTGACCCTTATTTTTTGGGGGGGGGGTAAAAGCAGTACTTATTTTCGATTTTCAAACGGCAACCTATATTAAAAAGTCCATAAACAGATGGACGATATTAGTTAAAATACGAATTAAAGTGTTGATACTTTTGATTTCCGTCGATCCGTTGACGAGATATTCCACTTTTAAGTTTGGGTCTGAGGAGAGCACTGGATTATCATTTGTGTCGGCGTGTTGATAATGGATGCCGTTTATTAGTTTGTACATAATACGGTAATTATTTACATTGTGTCCAATGATAGCCCGTTTTATTCGGTAAACAATTCTGAGCCGTGTCGGTTGAACTTATTTTGTTTAAATTTAAAATACTGTTATTATCGTTTGTAACCAAAAAGTGATATTTTCCACCGAGTTAGCGAATCACGACAAAAGAACGAAATCGAATAAAAAGCCGTTATTGCGTTAATAAATATTTCTGTTCTCAACGTCTCCTTTCTCCCCACCTCGGGTTTTCCTATATATTATTAAAAAAAAAAAATACTAAGAAAATCTAATAACGACCTGAATGTACCAACTAAACAAAATTTCCTACCATAAGTATTTTGTAACCACAAACCATCGCAGATGGTACCAAATGATCGGAATTATAAGATTTCTAGTAGAAAAGTTTTTCAGTGTCCTCAGAAGAAAAAAAACAACCTATTATTATTATCTTTGCTCAAAATCTATAAAATAAATGTAAAAGTTTTATTTGAAAAAAAAAAAAATCAAGTTACGAATGCCCATTCTGTGAGGTGTAAAATTTCCGGTTTCTAAACGTATTTTAAATTAGTGTTTCCTCAATCTTAGGTTCGCATTTCAAGTTCGAGTCGCAGATAATTTTGAATGGGTCACCAAAAAATTAAAACATTTTTATGACATTTACATTTAGTTGTGTTCGTGTATATGTATTACTTTAAAAATAAATGGCAGGTAATAGTATCATTTAATTATGGTAATTTAATAATTAAGTGGATTTGTTATGGTGGGTATCCATTTAGAATTATTTTCCAAAAGGTTGCGTGAAAAATTAGGAAAATATACCCCCCGTACAAATTAATTATTTCAAATTGCAAACGGTTGATAGACCGGCCATTTTTAAAATTCTTTAAGTAATTATATTTCAGTACCTATTTTTTTTTTTTTTTTTTTAATATTAACAAAAATGTCCTATTTAACATTGTATGGATAAAAAAAAATTGTTTTTATGGGTAATTTCAGGTTGATGATTTATATTAATGATAAATTATTATCAATTATACGTCAATAATATTTTGTACACATCTTATACGGTTCGCGGCTAATAACTTAGTCAATATTGATTTTCTCCTTACCAGTTACAATAGTTTATTTGTTCCTTATTACATTCTGATGACATTTTTTGGTTGGCAATTTTTTTGTTTGTTTTTTTTTTTTTTCAGTGCACTCTATAAGGTATACACACACACACACACACACACACACCTTTTATACATATGCGTCTTATCGTCCATACGGAGATATACCTTAATACATAATTAATTACAATCATAACGTACATTTTCCAATCTGCGTTCCATTTGGAATTATTATTATTATTGTTATTGTTATTGATTATTGTTTCGTACATCGTTTATCGTTTACCGTATATTTTCAAAGTTGTTAATTGAACCGTTGCGCGTACGGGGTATAATTAAAATGCAAAACTACGTAAATAGGTAAATGTATAGTCTGTATATATTACGTATAATGTTAAAAATAATACGTATACAATAATCGGTTCTAATTCCGCAATACGTTGCATACGTCCTATTCGATGTTCGTAATTAATCGAAGCGTTATGTTTGAAAACGGCGTACACAATCGGCACGTACCTATAACGTCGCAAACACGCAAAATATTATGTTAGATATTATTATATAATTTTCAGGGGTTAATTGTTGTATTATATTTACGAAATAAAATAACGAAACTGGCCAAACTAATGAACAATAATCTTAACTCGCGATTAAGTTAATTGAAAGCTCGTTGTCGGTATTTATTGACTAAGTTATGTTAGTCAAAACGTTACGTCGAAGACGATTCATTGACTTGTTAACGCGAGTAAAATTGATCGGCGGATTCCGAATGCAGTGAGATTTCACTACCATGTGTGCTTTTATGTTTTAAATTTAATTTTTCTGCCTTTTAACCACTTTTCTGCCGGTAATCTTGATCCAATGGAAAATTGGCCGAAGAATTTTTTTTTTTTTATAGAATTTTGGATCTAGTTGATGGACTTATTTTAAAGGTCTTTTCTTTCTAAGCAGTTTTCATACTGCATACTTGTATAATTGCATTTGCCGCGATAAAAATTTCGATTTTACTTTTCTTCCATAAATCTTGTACCGAAATTAACGTGTAGAATTTTTTCTGAAAACAAATTGTTTCCATTTGTTCCGAGAATTTCAAATTATATACATATATGTATATTAAACCTCCTTAAAATTATCTAAACGTGGTATGATGCAAAATTAACTCTTTATTACCTAATTATAAAATTAAAGTAAAATCAATAAGTGTTAATAAAAATAAAAAATAAAAAGTCCAACCTTGTAAAATAACTCGGTGTATGGTTCATAAAAAATTAAATAGTTAGTATTATATTATTTTACATCTCAATACATATTATTAAGTATAACTTTGCAACCGTACTTTGTATGTAACTTAATAGAAATTCCAATTTAATACTAAAACCGAAGGTTATAAATTATAGTTCGTGTATGTATAGAAATAATATTTTTATATACACTTTTTATCAAATAAGTATTATGCTTAGTCGTTTAGTTCAATAAATTATAATACGTAGTTATGGCCGGGACATTTTTGAGCCCATTTTAATAATGTTCATAAATATTAAACGCAGAGCCTATAATACAATAAACATTGATTCGGTGGCATGGAAATATATTATAAGTTGAAGGTATACCTATACTTATCAATGCTATATAGAACAATCGGAATTGAACTGCGAGGAGGGAGGCACCAGAGACAAAAATCAATAACTCATTAAACAAAACACTATACTCGTAAATAATGGCCAAAATGTCAAAAATGTCCGGAGGAAAAAATAGCCGAAAAAATAAGATCCGGACGAACATATGTCCGGGGATATTATATCCGGAGGCTACTCGAAAAAATACACATAGTAAAACTATAGAATAAAAACAATACATATAAAAAATCTAAAGAAAAATTAAGGAAATAAAAAAAAAAATTTTAATATTTTAGATTCTGAGTTGAGCAAAGAAGTTTATTATTTTTTTTTTTTTGTAGACAACTATTCTACTAGCAATTTTGCTTCAACTTTTAATGGTGGCATTTTTTCTAAAAGGAAATTTCTCTGGAGAAGTTCTTTAAAAAAGGTCGGTTTTCGATTTCCTGCGGAGTTTTCTCAGCAAATATGAAAAACTGAGAAAAACCGAAAAAAAGTAGAGAAACTGGAGAAATTGGTACTTACATTAAACAAATAATATTAAAGAAGATATATAGAGCCTATTTAATTATTTTTCTTTAATATAGTATATATGTTGTTGGCAAAGCATCACTATCAACTGAACTCCGCTCAGAATCGTTTTTTCGTAAGCAATGGTTTTTATCGTTGTTTACAGGCATACATTAAATTACCTATAACAGTGGCTGCTCCCGTTCCATTATCCCAGGTCGTCTTTTTTTTATTGTACTTTTTATTAACATTGATTGCACTTAAGTTGACATTGCTGAGTTGGCGTGTTTTCGTAAGTCCATGTAAATTTTTGGAGTGTCTATTCTTATATTTTTTTTTATTCTACGATTAAATTGATATCCACGGTGACATGGTTATATTTTTTGTACATACATGTATAGGTACACTCCATGTATATTGGTTCAAATAGAACATAAATAAAAGGAAAATTCATCATAAATTAAATCTTCATACAGTAGCTAATTGGTAATATATTAAGAAGGTGTCCTTAATAGAAAATATATAATGCCTATTTGATTTTACCATAATACAATGTATACAATATACATGTATTTCTTAAATTACAATTAGGTATGTAACATTGTTCTTGGGTTATTATTCCCATAAAGAATCATTGACCGATCATTTGTATTTGTGTTGACCCAAGCCAACTTTATTATTATCATTATTTTTTTTTTTTTTTGATAAGTGAAAATTTGTACGTTAAAACGTTCAAATTTTAACAAGAATCGTTTAAATTATAGCATTTGGAAACGTGTTTAACGGAACTTAGCTAAGAATCGTTTTTCGTAAAAAAATGATTAATAGGTTCGGTATAGTATATAATATACAGTAAATTGTTCTATGTATTCTAAAGGTATGAATGCATTGTATTGGACCAACTTCCTGCTTACAATAGCTGGTTATAGTTTACAGCCTACCTCTTCATTTTTTTTTTCACTTTCAAACGTTTGGGCATGAACAAACAAAGACATAATATTATAATATTTAGTGTCGTTACACGTTATTGCACGGCCAGCAATAAAATAATAATAACGAACGTCATTACGGTATCGATCGGGGTGAGTTTGTTGCAAAAAAAAAAAAAAAGTTTATAATTATTATTGTTATTATTGTATTACCGTCGGGTCGTAAAAGGGGCCCGAGCGATTATTCGTGGTGTGTTTATATACATATTTCGCAATCTCGAGCGAAAGTTTTTGAAGTCGATAACGTAAAATTTACGAGAATTGCACGCGGGCGGGCAAATGGTACCCAGGGGTAGAAGGAGAACGAGCAGAAGGAGGACGTTTGGTTTGTGAACGTGAAATCGCACACGTCTTGTCGGGCTTACCTTGTAAAACGCGTACAATATTATAATTTACATCCAACGGTATTTCATTAAATATTTATGTGTATTTATACAATATCTAATAATATGAGCACCGCCATGCTCCCCTCCTCCATGAAACGCGTTGTCGATTGAGTGTTTATAACTAAAACTATATAATGATTAATTTTGAAAATATTCCGATAACGCTCGATATTTAAAACCGATAATGATGACAATATTAGGCGAAATGTTGAGAAAAAATTGAAAAATTACGAGGTAGTATAACTATTATTGCGTATAAAGTCGTATAGGCGAAAAAGGAATCAATTTAACTTATATAAATAACGGAGAAAATTTGGCTCCGGGGGCGGGAAACCTCGGTCCCGTTTACCTCGGACGACCATAGTTAATCCCTGAAATGAAGTTTTAGATTCTGAGTGGAGCGAAGAAGCTTTTGGTTTTACAAAGATATTTTTAATTTTTTTTTTTTTTTTTTGTTCTATGGACAACCTTTCTACCAGAGATCTTGCTCCGATTTTTATGTGTAGTATCTTTTATGAATGGAAATCCGAATGGGAGGTACTATAAAGAGGTCGTTTTTAAAATTTTTTCAAAAGTTTTCTCATTAAATGCGAAAAACCGAGAAAAAAATGAGAAAATTATGAAAAACCGGGAAAATCGGTACATTATTGAACAAATATTATTAAAGAAAATATATAAAGCCTATTTGATTATTTTACTATAAAATGGCATACATATTGTTGACAAAGCATCACTATCAACTGAACTCCGCTCAGAAACGTTTTTTCGTAAGCAATTGTTTATCGTAGCTTACAGGTATACATTAAATTACTTATAACAGTGGCTGCATACGTTCCCTTTATTCTAGGACGTCTTTAAAAGAAAAAAATTATCTAAATGATAATGATTTTAACGGGACTAAAATTCATCCAATTTCAAATAATATAGATTCTATCGTATACGGATACGGATTACCTATATAGAATATACGTAGGTTCGGGTAGAAGAAAAATACATTCGCTATCTAGATAAATTATATTTTTTACTAAGGAAGTAGGGAAAAATAATATTGCAATATTAATTTGTCTAAAAACGTATGGAGAACGTTTAGGTTTCCATGTCTCAGCTCTAATACCATTAGTGTACAAATTTCAATAAGTAACCAACAATAATAAACAATATTGTAAATTAAGAGTAAACTTTTTAAAATTAATATAAACCATATTTACCCACCTACATAACAATAAAAACTAAATGCAGTATTTACCTTCCACAAGTGAATAATAGTTAAATAAATAAATAAATACTTACATTTTTATTTCGAAATTAAATGAAATATCAAATTTCCTGCATTCAAATGCCTAAAAAATTCCGTATAATTAAATGGGATGAAACGTGGAATAAAACGATTCGAAATATGTTCCATTAGTTACCTATCCAATATATCACTATGCGTGCGTTACTAAAATTGTAAATGAAAATACAGTATACGACGTTTGAGGCAGGGCGGGTGGCACTTCAAGGGTCCGCAGACCGTAAATTATTCTAGCACCCTGTTATTTCAACATACGAATAGTATATTATAATTAAACTTATGTGGGCATTAATTTGGTGTGTGACCTAAACATTTTCGTCGCAGTGTGTGACCCACAATATGTAATCTCTCGTTCGATTAGATTGAGGTATTTAATATAAAGTTGAGTATATGACAAATCTTAAAAAAAAAAATGGGGTTATGTGAGACGGTTCCCTATACTGAGACTGGTTCAAGAGAGGGAAGAGGCTAGGGTGCTATGGTCCCGAGGCACAAGTTGAAGGGAGCCTCACGATTCATTTTTGCTTATTGGTATTTATACCAATGTTGAAGGATCATAGCCCTGGGGTCCCTGGACCCCCACAACCCTAAATCCGGTCCTGTTTGTTACTTATATACTGGCTTCTTTGGCACATCTTAAGGAAGGGGAAATAGCCGCTAACCTATCCTGAATTATAAATCAGATGCTGCTGTAAGGAGGATAGTGTTCTAAATGTAAACTTAAACTTCTCTACGTGACATCAGGCCTTTGCCGACCGCTGTAACCACACGAGGTGATGTTATATCGGATATTTAATTAAAAATAAAAAAAAAAATCGTCATTTGTTGAAAACTAGGCCAGAAATGTAACCGGGAAAAATAACAAAAAAAAAAAATTAAACCTACAAAAAAATATCACACAACATAACAATATTTAACCTCGAAGTGGTATAACTTTGAAAGTCCGGTCAAAAAATATTGATTATACTAATAAACTTAGCGTCCAAAAATACACGAATAGAAAAAAAAAAACAGAAAATCTAATTTGGTGAAAAACTAGTATCCCTTTGAAATAACGTGGCAAATAATGTCACGGTAAAAAACGTCGCGTGAGCAAAAATGTCTCGATTACAATTTGTTTTTCTGTGAACAAATTTTATACCAGAAATTTTTCGCTCCAATTGTCAAGTTTAGCACTTTTTCTGGTGAAAATTTGACTGATTGAAATTGTACACTTGTAAATTGTAATGAGTTTATTTTTTTTATTATCTCTGGGGTTTTCATAATAATTTTAAAATGGGAAAAACGAGAAAATGTACGAAATGTATTATTTTCTAATCGTACATATTACGGTTTTTCATTACACGTACAATTGAACTCTGCTCAGAATCGTTTTTCGATAACAATGATTAACCGTTGCGTAAAGATGTACATTAAATGTCTCCTCTACCTTCCCAACTTCTGACCTACAACAGTGGCCCACCGATCGTACGAAATATATCCTCTTTATTATTATTTTTTTTTTTGAATTTGATTTCTATTGATGTTTTTGTTTTACTTATTTCGGTAGCCTTGACGTTGTTTTTGTCGGGTTATCCGATTTTAATACAAACGAGTGAACGCGCATAATGTATAGGGTACACATTTTGAAGTCGTTATTCAATTTTACTGTGTGCAATAGTGTAATATTGTGGCATTAGTGGGATATCCGTGCGTATTCGTGTTTATAATGAATAATAATAATAATTTATTTGCAAATTTTTATTTGGCGACATTTTTGTAATAGCATTATTTTTCGGTACATGACATTTTGACCACAACGCGACATTTTGACACGGATTTCGTAAAGCTATGTTTATTTTTTATTTTTGTTTTTTTCGTCGCGCCGTGACAAATGACTCGGTAGGTCATCGTCGGTCTGTAGGTAGCACACTGCATTATAAACGAATGCCATTATGTATTATTGTATCCGGCGTAATAATATTACGTGTAATGATTTTGTGCTAGTTATTTTTTTAAACGTTTGATGGTTTTTTTTTTCTCTGTCCCGCCATAGGTGACATGGTGATACGCGAAGGGACGGCCGCCACGAAGATGTATTTCTTGCACGAAGGCGCGGTCGAAGTGCTGGTGTCCGACGCCCAGGAGGTGGTGGCCACGCTGAGCGACGGCAATTACTTCGGCGAGACGTGCCTGTGGGCGTTGGGCGCCCGGCGTTCCGTCAGCGTGCGGGCCGAGACCTACTGCAACCTGTTCTCGTTGACCGCGACCGCGTTCCACCGCGTCGTCGATCGGTATCCCAAGTTCAAGGACCACGTGACCGCCGTGCTGGTGGACCGGGCCAACCGCGTGGCCGCGGTCGGCCAACGTCCGCCCGTAGACACCAAACTGTAGACGAATACAATCAAAATAATAATATTATTCCACCCTCTGCCCCTGTCCCAACTGTCCGACCCGCTCCCTACCCCTGTACATTGTTTCCTCTGTTCCGACGATAGTGTTATTATTCTTCCTCTCTTTGACTATATTATATTGTTATTTTATGCATTCAGATCTGACCGCCGACGACGATTCTATAAATATATAAGTAGGTATAATATTATAATTATATATCGTATTGCCATAAAATATTAATACTATACCTTATGATAAATTATACTGTTCATGTAATTAAAATTATATTTTACATAATAATTTGTAATTTTTTTTTTTTTTTTTTAAATAATTAAGCCTATTGAAGCGTTGAGAAGGGTGAGATAATAATTAATTAATAATTACTAAATTGACACTTAATAGGCGGAAAAAATCCGCGTATTTGTTCACTCCGTCATTATAATGGTTTGCGTATCAGAACTGTTCGACAACGAACACCCGGAATTTTTATTGCCGCATAATTGACCGGGCCACGGACAACATACACAGTACCGTATATTTTGGTATTGAATGTCATAACTATTCCGTATTCCGTATACTGATCGTTATCCGAGTCTAATACGTTGAAGTTAAAACGCTTAATCGGTTTTTATTCAACTACGCACGCACGCACGCACGCACGCTGTACGTTAAAAGACGAGCCGGGGTCATGTTTCAATCGAAACGATTTTCCCCGTTATCGTATAATCGATTAATATTTTTTATTTTTTAATTGTTTTCGCCGAAAAAACCGAATTGGTTCACGGTTTTCCGTTGTTGTCCACATTGTCGTTAAATCGAAATTGAAAACATTAGGTAACCCCGCGTTCGCGTTTCGCAGCGACGTTGAACGGTCGCCGGTGACACCGACGCTCGCGCGAAAAATACCGATTACCGACAATAACGACGGTATTTGCCGGCCTCGTGCCAAGGTATCGACAGTCGACCGATAATTAACGTTTACCGTACGGGGTCACCGAACGATACGAGCGGGATAACAAACGTCCTCGCGGACAACGCCACTCGCCGCGCAACAAAAACCGCGGACTCGACCCGGTCGCCGCACCCCGTCCGTTACCGGTTTTCTGCCGGGCGGCAGAAATATTGTTCGGAAAGCAAACGCCCGCTTATGAATCTCATCCGACGGCGTTTCGGGGGCGAACGTTCCGTCGTGTTTGTTCCCCCCCTCCCCCCCCCGGGAATTTTTTCGCGTTCCGGCGTCGACGAGAAAACAAAACGGACGTAAAAACAACGGAAATACCGTTTTTAACCGACGCGCGGCGGCGGCGAAAGTTTTGACACTTTAATATTAATTTCACCGCGAGACTCCGCAGGGCCGGTGTGAAATTGATTTTTTTATTTATTTTTTTTTCGCGCGCCCCGCAGAAACCGCGCGGCCGTTCGACTCTGGCGCATTCATATTACACGTCGCTTGCGTGCGCGGTCCAACGTACACAGCCATGCGGCGCGGGTCGTCCGCCCGGTTTTCCGCGCGGCGTTTGTCCGCGGTGTGCGAATCGAATGCGTACAGTGTTCTCGAGAACCGAAATCGAAATCTCGATTGCCGCCGCGGAATCGAGGGGGCGCCGGCCGGTGAAATCAATTTCGACCGCCGCGCACGGGGCCGACGGCGTAATGGAACCGCGGCGCCCCGCGGTCGGACGCGATGGCGGCCGGCAGGTATACCGTTCTCGATTCGGATCGCAGATTACACAAAATAAATAAAAAAAAAAATAATAAATAATAATAAATAAAACGCGGGTCGCCGTCCGGAGAAGACGTACGCTGTTGTTGTCGACACGCCGAAACGTGTGAAACGTTTTCGCGGACCGACGGACGCAACGAAATATAACACGCGGCGCGCGCCGTACGTTCGAGAAGGCGGCGCGGTCGTTATCCGTCCGCGACGTTTCAAAGTCGGACGGCGTTTGACGTTTGCGACTCCGCGGGACAGTATCGGTGTTTCCGTTCACTCCGCCGCGGAAAACACTATCCGCCGTCGGCCCGTCGGGACGGTCCGGGTCGACGGACCGCGGCGTACCCTGCGTACCGTTATTCGGCCGTGCGGTTTTGACGGGCCGCACGCGTTTCGCCGTCGGGCCCGCCGGAAAATGCGAAATCCGCACGAATGCTTGCGATGGGCCCGTGTGATCGGCGCTGAGCGGCGAACACGCGCGGAACCCCGCGGACCCTCTCCTCGAACCCCTCGCCTCCGGAAAAAGAGCCGCCGGCCGCTACCGAAATCGGCCGCGTCGGCCGTGGCCCGTGTATTCATTGAATGCGTAAGACCGTACGTGGAACCCTAATGGACCGTGTTTGACCGTGCGGCAGAACGATAATTGTTTTTTTGTTTTTTTTTTTAACAACTAATAGCGGTTTATTACCGATTTGTCCGTACGACGTGCGGTGACGGTGGTAAGCATAGACAATTGCTGTGCTTCGCGCACGCGCACGCACAGCGATGACGAAAATATGTTCTACATGCGGCTGAAAAAAAAAAAAAAAAAAAAAAAAAAACTAATGTACAATTAAAAACTGTACTGAAACACGCCGCTATGGTTTGCAGATGTATTAATAGTTTCGCCGTCGACCGCGATATGAATTTAAAAAAAAAAAAAAAATCGTATCTACAGCGAGGCGGATAAAAAAAAAAAAAATGTTCCGCATTTTTTTTTAACAATTGTTTTCGTGATAGGAAACGCGCGCGTACCATCAAACGAAATATTATTTAATTGTTTAATTTGAATTCGTTTCTGCATCGACGACGACGACGACGACGACGGCAGTCCGCAGTTATGTTGATGTCCGCTCATTCAATCATTTACGCAACCGTGTACAATAATAGTTGATAAATTCTCAATAAAGAATATCAATTATTATTAGTGGCGTAACAGTTCAATTAACTGCAGTACGATCCACTCGAACGTATATTGTTTTTGAAATGATTTTTTTTTTTTTTTTTTTTTTTAGGTTTTGCATTAGAATTTGTTTTGTTTTGTTGGAGACGAGACGTTAATAAATAAAACGTAGTCGTATACACCGCGATAATAATGTGACGGTGAATACGGAACGACCGATTATTCTCCGTAAGACGCTCGTTATCTCGAAGGTGTTTTTTTTCCGCAGTTTTCTTTTTGGAAAATTTAAGAAACAGACATCTGTAAATTGCGTCATTGTTGTTATTAAATTTTTTTTTTTACCCTTTTGAGTTACCACATTTCGATGTTTAAAGAGTATTATACGCGTTTTCAATAACATATACTAATAAAACTGTTTTGAAAAACGAATTTTTCGTTTACAGATTTTTAATTCTGACAATGCTTTTGCGTCTCTAGCCCTGTCGAATAAAAGTAACGGCAGTGGATTCAGACGAATGTTTTTTATCTAAGATCGTAAACGAGGCATTAACAAAGTATACAACTAAGTATATATTTTTACTCTTGAAAAAGATAATATTTAATTGCTAAAAACAATATACTGAGTTTTAAAAAACTGCAACACTTAAATAACCACTTTTTTTCCATACAGTCAGCTATCCTTTTATCAACATATTTATTAACTCATTGGTATCATTGCTAGGTATAATCATTGGTAATACTTTAAAAGAAAATCAAACCTAAAACATTTTCGTTTGGACAATAATTCTGATGTACATGTCTGGCAAAAAAGTTGTTCTCAGAATAGAAAAACAAAACAATAATCAACATCGTTATAAAACCAATATATTCCTCGCTACGCTCCGAACCTAAATAAATAGTGTGGCCGATGTTTTTTTTCCTGTATAGGTGCGATACATTTTTATCGTGATAAAGACAATGCGACATTTCAGAACGGTCTGGCCGTTGATTAAATATTCCGAAAAAAGTTACGTACACAACACTCTCCCAGATGACGGAGTGTTTTACGGAAGATCGATCACCCTGTATACGCGCGTCTCGGGAATAAAATAGCCGATATACGTATATTTTAATTAAATCGCTCCGGTATAATATTTTAGTAGATGCAGTTCGGTTATAATATTGCGGAGACGAGACGGAAAACACATTAGTTTCTATTAGAAACGATATTGTGCCACCGATCGCGCGTCGTTGGAACCTATCCAAATAGTTTCCGATGCGCGGATTTTGTTTGTGTATAGGGTATATATAGGGTACGACCGCGAAGATACCCGCACCACGAAAACGCGCGTACCAATCAAATAAATTGATTTTTTCCTGTCTTTTTTTTTTTTTTTCTCTCAATATACGAGGGTGTATATCTTTCGTCGTACGTCACGGTTTATTAGATCGCAGAGAGAAGTCGCGCCACTGCTATATGAATTTATGTATGCGTGGTAACAAGAGAATATCCATCACAAGTTTTGGAATTTCAACGAAAGAAACGAAAATGTCAATATCAACAAACTTCTCGAATCGGGTACCCCCTTTACGGGAAATATATAAAATATCTTAATAATAATATACGCGCGTCGAATTCACCCAGGGTACTAATATAGTTTAATATAATATTATTATCGCACGCGTTCCAATGGAAAATGCATATAAATCGCACGGGTCCGGAAAAATCTATTCATCATAGATTTTCGTTTTGCAAAAGCAAGCTAAACAAGTATTACTAATACTGAAATTAACTAATAGTATTTTTTAATTATTATTATTTTTCACAATATTGATAGGTTAAATTATGCAAATATACCTTCACTCCTCCCTATCCGTAGCAACTTCCTTTAATTTTTTATAGGACCACATTCCTGTATATCCGACATAATTTTCTTAAATATAATGTATAATATTATCGTCGTCTAGGTCTTCTTCTTCGTGGTTTCTCTTCAATTTTTCCTTCAATTGTTGATATCACCCATGTCGCCCATGTATAATTCCTTATGAGATGTCTTATCCATTTCTATAGATTTTTCCCGACTGTCGTCCATATTGACCTCCATTCATTTATCCTATTTACTTTTTCATTTTTAACATCTTTCGCCAATACCAAGTTTCGAATAGTAAGTACTAAGTATAGTATAGGTACATGTAAATTGTTAAATTTCAGAACTGTTAGAACTTTTGTTTTATCGTTTTAGAGGTGCTGATTAGTGTACAGTGGTTTTACAAGGTTGGGCGAATCAATGCTTATAGTAAAAACCAGGGTAAGTGGAAATAGTTAAAAGTACCTAAGCACGTAAACAGTTAATTGTTATAAATTTATGAACAGGGTTAAATTAAATGTTAATTTGAAAATCATTATTGATACGATAG